AATCACCACCACTATTCCAAAAATGTGAACAATAACCAGTCCAAGGCGAAGCATATATGATGCTAATTACACATACTTAATGCGTATTTTATTAGACAATTGTAGTCCTTTCCAATCCTTTTTGCTTTCCTCCATTTCCGCTTTTTTTTTAATATTGTATTCGTGTGAAGCTGTGTTGTTTTGCAAAAATGTACTCAAAAACTAACGGTCGTAGAAAAAGTATAGTATACAACACGTTTGTAACCATTTGCTCCGCTGCGCTTCGCTCTTGCCAAATAAACTCGTGAGTCGTGAAATTTTGATGTCTTTTTTTCTCATGCAAGCCGTAATGTAAGAGCAATATAAATTAGCAGTTTAGTTGTATTATTGAATTGTCTCCATAAGAGAGTTATTAAACACCTCTATAACCATAATAGCTCTCTCGCCCAGATTTGTTACAACTGATAATGAATTAAATAACTTCTTGGTATCCGTTAAAAGTTTAGAGTTTATTGTCGTTGTGTCACGTTAAAGTGTCCAAGTCCAACGACCGACTACGCTGATAAGAAACAACAAACTACTAAACTTTTGCCGCCAGATTTATCACTCGTATCCAGATTCATTCATTACCAGGTGGCCTTTATTGCTCCACATTTCAAATTATCAGGCGAGTTATGTCGCCTTTCGGTAAGACGGGGGAGTAAACTTTTCGAAATTAACTTTCGCGGTACAGACTGGCACGAAAAGGCGCTGAAATCTTATTGATGTGGCGTGTCGGGCTAAATTGAAACGTATTTCGAGGTAATAATCGGCCGACAGCGGAATTGTTGCCGACCGGAAACAACAGCGTCTCCGCCTCAATTTGTAAAACTTGGTCCATTTTAGACGTCATCAGATTTATTAAAACCACTGGTTTCACCGACAGTTAATATTTTATATGTAATATCATAAATAAATAGAACAATAAAATAAAAAAAACTACTAGATTACTTCGCCGTTTGTATCGATATTATAGCTTTAAAAGCAAGTGTGCAATGTTAGTTTGTGGTACATATGATGTATAACTAAAAAATGATAGAGGATGTGTTATGCTTTAGAAAATTTGCAGCTCTTATATTCAATATGCTTTAGAAATATGCATATTATAATTCATTAATTTAAAGGATTTCGTATCTTTAATAATAAAGAAATGATAATGTATATTTGTATTCACTATTAATTACATTATTTACAGGGTGGATTGTGAGTTAAGGTGAACATTAATAACCGGTAAATTAAACATCCTAAAACTAAATAGGCATAATTGATAGTTTCTGAAATTGCAGAAAGTGTTTTTCCACACTAGAAATAATATATTGTACAACAAGTGCGGTAAACGACATTTGACGCACGAGTCTGTTTGACACGAGGGGAGCAAGTGTTTAATAAACGAATGACTTATAGTATATTATGCAACAAGTGCGGTAAACAGCATTTGACTCCTGAGTTTATTAGACACGAGCGGAGCGAGTTTTTAATAAACGAGTTTACCGAACGTGTTGCATACTATACTTTTTCTACGATCGTTAGTTTTTAGGTACATTTTCGCAAAACAACACGAATACATTGACTAACTTGACCGTCAGAATTGACAAACGTCAAAATTCAAACCGAAAACATCCGATTCCTCCCAAATCCGTGCGGTAAAATCCCGGAAATGTCCGAAGTGGCTCGGGTTCGTGGGAAACGAAACTGACATGGTAAAGTGACGCTTCCCGCACGCTACGACCATAGGAATACATTTACTGACATGACCGTCAGAAATGACACACGTCAAAATTCAAGGCGTGGGAAACACCTCCGAAAACATCCGATTGCTCCCAATCCCGTGCGGTAAAATCCGTGGGAAACGAAACTGACGCGGTAAAGTGACGCTTCCCGCACGCTAGATCGGTGTGTAATTAGGCATTTTACAGACGGGAGTAGAAAAAATAAATGTTACTAACTACTTGAAAGCTGTTTTTACAAATGATTATTGTATATCAAGTTTAGAATGACACATTCAATGACGAGAGTTCTTTCAAATATTTCAAAAGTCACCTGAATTTGTTTTTTACTTGGCATTTTTAAGAAATGTTGCAATGTTGACTGAATTCAGCAAAAACGGATTGAGTAGAAGAAGAACTATGCAGTGAATATGTCATAGAACGAAAAATAAAAATAGAAACGATGGCGAGCAAGGCGATATAGAGTTAGATTTGTCAGACATATTAAAAGAATGCACAACACCTTTTTAATTTGATTTTTTGATTTAATGAATAATCTGATCACTTAATTGATTATTAAAGGGAATCCAATAATCTGCGACCTGCTAGATCAACCAAAAAATAGCAAATTAAAAATCAACTATCGGAGCGATCTTCAAAAAATACCAAAGTGGGTTCCCATAGATCCACAATATTACGAATAACAAAATTATAGCTGCGTAGGCTACGCCGATAAATAATACAAGTCAAAAAAAAACTTTCATAACACCCAAACCGAAATATGGGAGAATCTAGACCGTTTAAGATAAGGGCGCCGACGTAAATTTTAAAAAATGTAAAGTAAAAGCGTAGTGATGGAATTTCTTCCCATGTTACTTAAAAATTCACAACAAAACCTATTCTGTGATAATTTAAAAATATTAAACTGTTCACCTCTGAGCAGTATACTTCGAGAGTGTAACAGATTGGTAAGAGAGTCAGATTTATTTAATACAAATATCCTTGCCATAAGACCTGCAGTTTTACTAATTTTCTTTTTTGTACAATCCTCCTTCTTTTTTAGTGTAACTTGGTATGTAGGTTTCTTTTAATCTAATCTTGTATCTGTTGGTGTGCGCATAAAAATATAAATAAATAATTATATCATCTGGTTGAAATTCGCCAGGAAATGCAATGTCTAGCTTATCCTTGCTTATATTAAAAACTAAATAATAAAGAAGCATCTTCAGCCAATTATTTTTAGTCAGTTTTATCATTGTCTTTTTCTTAAATATTTCCTTCCTGTATTTTTATTGAGGGTTCTCATGATCGGCTTGTTAGTAACTTTTTAAATTCCAATAAACCCTTCAGCACAATGTAAGCAGCGAAAAAGTGGAACGAACGAAATGACCTACGTGTCCGTAAATGTGTTCAATCAAATTAACGACCCAGATAGCTAGAAAAGAGATTTACCATTATTGAATAAACCCGTCAGTTGTCATCAATTTTCCCACTGACTGGTCACCAGCTACCTTCTTTTTGCATTCATTCGACATTAATTAATTACAAAATTACTTGATAAATATTTAATTAATTATTTTTTTATTTATAATGAATCTCTTAATCACTTTTTTCTACTCCCTACTTAAAAAAAAACTAAGCACTATCGTGCGCAAAGTCAGCTTCGTTAAACACTGACGCAAGTTACTTCACGGTCACGGTTCTTCAGTAGATTTTTGCCACGTCACACGCCACTTAGAGAATGTATTTATGCTGTTTTACAAAAAAGTTATGGTCGTAGAAAAAGTATCAAATCAAACTTGTCGCTAAAATGGAGCTTATCATAATATACCGTAAGTCTTAAATAATGTGCGCGATCGGAAAGTCAGGTGTCAATTGTGCAAGCGAAATAAGAAGAGGACTTTCGGGATTTCTGAAACGTAAACGAAAAGTTAAAAATCGTTTTCAAACTTACCAAATGAAATATAAAATATTTAGGTACCCTAAAAATACACTTTGCGAAACTTGTGATTTAAATAATCGAAACAGTCTCTAATAATAAATGTAATTAAAATAATAAAATATGTAATCAACATTCTAGGCGAATTGCAAGTGACACATATTATTCTACAGGGGGGCCTGTTTAAGAGAGGCATACATCTTATCTCGAAACCTATGAGTATTATAAAAAAAAAATTGAATGAATTTTTTTTATTACTTCAATAGTCACTCAATTACATACAGGGTGGTCAAATAAAGGTATTTTTTTAATGGAACACCCTATATTTTATTACATTTTTAAATACTAATTTAAAAGACGAATTCAACGATATACATAAATCTCTATATATCTGTCTCTAATGCGCCGTTGTTAGCGAATATCGTCGGGATTCAGGTTATGTTAGGTTTGTTCGTTACATTTCAAAACACGCCCTTTAAAAGTCTAACGATATCTTGTATTATATTTTAACGCAATTAATTAATTAATAATGGTTTAATTTAATTAATTTTAATTTAATTTAATTAAGTTAAATTTAATTTAATTAATTTTCATGTAATTTCATTAATTTTAATTGATTTAATTAATTTTAATTTAATTCAATTAATTTTAATTTAAGCATGAATCAATATTTACATCTTTACCAAAAAAAACTTTATGAATTTCAGACAAATAAGCAAGGTAGAAGATCGGTTAAAGTGTGGTGGGGTATTTGTAGAGATAGAATTTTAGGGCCAATATTTTATGAAGACAATTTGACTTGACGGCAATGCGATTTTTAGATTTATTAAGAAATAATATTGAGAATTTCATTTGCAATATCATTCTTAAAATAGAACATAGCAACAAGCAACAAGATAGCGATATCACCGAAGTGCTGATATCAGTGAATGTTTAAATCGAAATTTTAGACAATGGATTGGGCAACATGACACCCTCTGGTCAGCAAACAAGGAGCCTGGATTTAAACCCACTGGACTACTTTTTGTGGGGAATTTTAAAACAATTGCCTTGCATTATTCAAAATGGTGGACATGTGGAAAATTTTTGATATCGTATGTTCAACGAGTCATGTCAATTTTTGATCTAAATATACAAAAATACTGCTATACATTTAATACAATTAATATGTTTCATTTAGATTTATTTTGGCAGCCAAATTGAAGTTTGAGCCTTATTTGCACCAGTTTGTCATAGTAAGAAAATCTTGTTAACCATTATTTGATTGTCGTTTATTTGGACCCCACTAATTATTACTTATACTTATACTACTATTATTACTATATACTTTTTTCCAGAAATTGAAGGCGTTAAAGATATTGCAGTCTCTATTCCGATGGCAGCGCGGATCTTGGACACAGTAACTCTGCATTGCAACTACGATTTAGAAGGCGAACCTTTGTATACTGTAAAATGGTACAAAGGTCAAAACGAATTCTATAGATTCATTCCAAAGGAGCTGCCCAACACTCAAATATTTCCACTGCCAGGAATAAACGTCGACGTACGTAGTAGTTTACCTGAATTTGATAGCCAATGTTTCATTTGACTTAAAGTTATTTACATCTATTTGAAAATTTGTTTTTCATTGTCCATCCCGTGTATGTTCACATTGAAATGGTTTAGAGCCATTGAAAAATGACGAAGCTTTTTCCAGTTAAGCGAAAGTACCCCCAATGAAATAGTTTTAAGAGATGTCCAGCCTGAGGTGACCGGCAGATACACCTGCGAAGTCTCTTCCGATGCACCTCTGTTCGATACAAAAATGAATTCTGGTTACATGTACGTTGTAGGTAAGCGGTTGAACAAGGTCATAGTAATTTCGATAGCGCATGAAATAATACAGAACGTTTTCTTTTCACCATTTGACTTTAATTGTAAACTATGAAAGCATGACAGTTTACTAGACTCATTTAGTACTTGCCTTTAGAGATTTGCGGTATAGTTTTATTGTGAATCCGGTGGTATAGTGAAATGTAAACAAGAAAAAAAAATTGAAATAGCAAAAGATATATTCGATTGTTGAGAAATATGATTTGACGATATGGCCGATATATTATTTCGTAATTTATCACGGCACCGCCCATTTTACTTGACAGGAATTCAATAACTTTTTAAAAAGGTCGTGGGTAGCTTAGCTGGGTTTTGCACGGGACTAATAGTAATCCATCATTACATTGCAATTAATATCCACTTCTTTGCGTTTCAATAATCGATCAATTTTGAAAATATATATCAACACAACAGAAATTTCAATATACGCAAAAAGAGATTTACAATTTATATACAAGGTGTTTACTTGAGGGTATTAACTTAATTTTTAATTTAAAAACAAATTCCTGGACCAAGTAGAAAAATTCATATAAATATGCCTACTAAATTTTTTGGTCATCAACATACGGGATGACAAAGTTAGTTGAAATTTGGCAGTGTTATTTGTGAAAATAAGTAAGTAAGCTGACAAAGAGGCATCTTTAGAAATCAAACAAAACATTTAAAAAACACTGTCCCAAAACACCTGACCAGTGTATATAATAAAACAAGCTTTGACTGTAGCAAAGTATCAGAACTGATGTTTCGTATACGCACCATTAACAAAAACTTCGTGCGTTTCAGATATTCCTATTGAGGATCCGGTGTTGGCGGTCGAAAAAGATCTTCTCGACATAGGTGAAGTGATACTGGCAAATTGTACGGCACCTCCATCTTTCCCTGCCACAAACATCAGCTGGTATCTCAACGGCAAAAGGGTAACACAATTAATTAAAATGTTTAATTTAATAGGTGATTAGTTTCTGCCAGGAAAGTTGTGAACACCGTTTGGGTAACAATACCCTCCTTCGTTGGTTTAATTAGATTTTTTCCCTGAAAATTGGCAAGGCAAAAATTTATTTTTGAAGTGAGGGCCTGGTAGAAGACTTTCCGAAATAGCAAAATATTTAACTGTCCGCATTTACCAAGACATACCAGATTAATAAGGAGTAAATGTTATTTCCGCTTAATTTCATTACGCAGAAAAAAGTTAAACCCGTTTTGTTTTCACCCAAGCAAACTCTAAGAAACTTATTGATTTAATGTTTTTTCTTATTGCCAGAAACGTTTATTTTATTTGCACTGACGAAAACAGAATTTTTAATTGACACGATTGGTTCTGTACTTCATGTAGAGAAGGGCAGTGTTGGATTTATTAGTCCATTCAACATGCGCATGTGCGAGATTTGACCAACATGGCAGTTGACAGATCGTCAATAAGTTTGGATGTGGCATTTTTACAGCCATATTTTCTTAACATGCATATGTCTAGATCTCGTTAGATGTTCTGGGAAAAGGAGTCAAATGCAGGTTAGTGGGTGAAATTTAGAGGCTTGCGCGGAAAATCATTACCTTCTCTACGAAAATATCAATGCCGCCTGCGGCGCATCAATTTTTTCCGTAATAGGGCCACTATATAGTTACTTCACTTCGAACGACGAAACTAATGGTTTGATTGAGTGTAATATTTTCTATGAATTATAAAGGAATGTCACAAAATAAGTGACACACGAGGAGCTAAAAAAATAGTAACTTGGTGGTACTACAGTGCTGTTAAATTAATTTTATAAAACTTACCACTTACCAAAGATTTTTAGGGCATATACGGTCGCATGAAGTTTACATGGACGCACAAATATATTTTTATCACAGACTGATAACCGCCAGTACAAAATACCTCGGTCAGCCGCCCTCCGGTCTAGATAGAGTATAGATAAACGAACATCAGAATTCCCCAGCCGCCCAAAAAATATGCAAATAAGTTTCAATTTGCGAAAGCTTGTAACTTCGTGTTGTAAAATCCGGACTTTAATTTTATTTTTGACTGCACCCGATTTCGCCGGGGACACCGAAGGCAGTAAAGAGATCCCTACGTGACTTCATTATCGGTAGGGGATGATTTCGCATACGCACCATATGACGCCCCGCGTCGGGATTTGCATTTCCGAGCAACTACATATTTGGGGCGGATTTAGTGGAAGGTTAAAAGCTTCGACGGGACGATCGGAATTTGATCTGATTAAAATTGTCTAAATGTGAGTTTTGAATTGACAAAGATTTGGTAATCTAGATTTGACGTTTTTGCTACAGAGATTATTATCGTTATGAACATAAGTAATGTACCACTAAAGAAGACGCTATAATAATTTTGCCTAAAATAGTAAATTTTGGGACTGATAAAATACGGCTTTTTTGTACTTGTACGTATAAGTAGGTTGTGCATGTAGCTGACATTGTCAATTAAAAACATCACAGAGTAACTAAGATTCAAGACTGATTTAAATAATTGGAAATTTGAAAAACCTAAAAAATAACTTAAATGAAAATCACGAAATGGAATTAATTTATTTTTAATTACTTAAGAATCACCTACATTAACAAAATTACAGTTATTTTAATGTATTAAACAACACACAGTAATTTTTAGACTACAACATAATAAAACTTAGCCTAATTAGTAAGTAATATTTTTACTAATTATTTAGTAAAATAAGCTGTTATTTGTATTATTGTATGTATTGAAGTAAAGTTCACTGGCTCCGTCTCAGTTTTTGTTTGACAATGTGTAACACTTTATAATATCGTAATTTTCATCAAATAGATACATTTTAAATTACTTAATTAATGGAAAGTGCAAGTTTCAATTCAATAAATAATGATGGTGATGACTGATGACATTGCAAACTATATGCACGTCCTACTTGTCCATAAATAAACGGTATCTTACATCTTCACCACATTTCATGACAGATAACAAAACCATATATGACTGAAAAGAACTCTTTCGTTTTTTAAGACCATAGTCAACTATGATTGCCATATAAAATAAAAAAAGTTGAATTCATTTGTGGGAAAACGGAAAATTATGACAATAGATCTAAGTGCGCCACTGAATTTGATCAATAAAATGCACGTTTTGGTCAGTTTTTGGTTTTTACCATTAAAAAATGTACATTTTTTTATCCCTTATATTTTTTTGATACGCCCAACTCCAACTAAGACAATTTTATGCAAATATGAAGAGCCAAAACTATGATAAATATTAAGGCGAAAATTGTAACACACTTTGCCAATATGGTTGTTGTGATTAACAGGATTAAATTATATTTTAGTGCTCCTTTCCTTAGCTGCTGGATTGTTAACATTTGGATTTACCACTAATTTTGATACCGAACTATTACTGGACTTTATAAAAACTGACCCTCTCCCCGCTTCCGAGAGTGAAAAAGTGGCGATTTTTGCAGACGTTCTGAGAATAACTTTAGTTTTTCCTTAAAGTTTACTTTTTCCTCTTTATTCCAGATTACCAACAATTACTTAAAACAAACAGAGGTAACTAATGAAATATTGACTTCAATAAGGAAGCGTTTTGTCACCACGTCCGTTTTAAAATTCGAAGTTGGCGATAGTACATTTGAAGTAAGTTTTGTTTCTGAAAATCTATACATACAGTAATTAAGCAACAATTGTTTATTGGTAGTGAATTTGAATTCCATTTTCGTTTTCAAATGAGCTCTTATTACAAAATCTAGTGAAACGTATTTATCCTTAAATTCTACTATTTTAGGAGGGAAAGGCTGTACTCAGTTGCGTAGCGTCTCTATTTAATATATACAGAGGGGAAAAGAAAGAAATAATAGAAGAAGCCAAACCGAAGCCGAGACCTTCATCAGTATTGGGTCCTAGAGGAGAATCATCAGGTAAATACAAATATAATTCTAAACATCCTTATCGAAGAACTAAGACAGACCTGGAACAAATTTAATGTCTATTATATATTTGATTGCAAAAAATACATTTTTTTTCAGTAAGGACTAATTTCACTTCAAATTAGATTGAATACAGCAGAAAGTGTGTACAAATAAAGTATAAATAAATATCTTTATACTTTTTATAATAATAGAAATAAATATACTTACTTTATTAATTTTTATTCTTTATTTATTTATTTATTTAGTTATTTCTTAATTTAATTTATTATTTATTTCCATAAAAAAAAGAAAAAGAGACAGGTCTCGAATTATAAAGGCTTTTCATCATTGTACAGGTTGTTATTCAAGTGACCGACATTTCTCAGGGTGATTTCTCAAATATTTTTAGGGTTAAAGGTTACTATACACGTGTGGCGCGAGGTAATACCGATTTATGCTGAGATAATTAATATTAGTGAGAGTGTTCTTTAAAAAAATGCTGAATTTTACTCTCTCAACTGTATTTCAAAATTTTATTATATTTGTATTTTTTACATAACAAACAACAAACCACAAACAAAACGGATTGTAGAATTGTTTGCTTTTTTAAAAACACATGTCTCAATTACTTCTTACTAAAATATTTCGAAAACGGTTGTTTCTGGTGATTTACTGAATAGTTCAATTTTTTTACCAAAAATATAATACAGGGTCGTATAAAACAGGGGATAAAAGACATGTGGGTGAAATTTCTTCCCCCTATGAGTAAGAGCTAAATTAAGAACAAATTCAAATTTCTCATACCGAAACACCTAAAGGCACAAATTTTAAGCCACAGGTGATTTTAACTTATAAATCGAATTAGCTTAATTAACAAGTGATGTTCTTAACTAACTCTTTTTAACTAGTGGGAGAGGTTTTGAGGATTATAATTATTTTTACTTGGTTTCATTTTGATGTATTTTAATTTTCCTCTATATATTTTAACACCATTGTCGAAAACTATATAACCACGTTATGATCTATGTTGATATGAACATTTTTAAAATTTGTAATGCAAACAAATGTACGTTCAACGTTCTTTGAAAAGCACTCCACGCGCCACGTAAGGCGAAACCACCAGAGCAAACATTTCGAAAATTTAAATCTAGTCCGCACTTACTTTCGACTGAAGATTCGTATCCAATCGAGCAGATATTCAATTATTGTTTCTATTTGTGTTTCAGATTGCTCACGGATCCATGTACCGATCGCGCGAGTTTTAATATTTACCCTGTTCTTCTGGAAATACCGGTAACAAATAAAACATCTGGAATAAAAGAAACTAGCGTTACAACTTCATTATTTTCCCTCAGAGGCGCAATCAAACACTGTAAATATGTACATATGTATGTTTAAAGAAACAAAAGCGCGTTATTCTGTTTTACGATGGTATTTATAAAAGGATGTAGCTAAGTGGAAATAAAGATATTGTTACATTGTCGAATAATTATTATAATCAAATCTCGAAATTCAAGAAAAGGAACGATGCAAAATTGTCAGTTTTTTATTACACCAAAGAGCACCTGCTTCACAGTTTTTCTTAGTTAAATTGGGAACCCAGGGAACTTTGACACCAAAGATACGGGGTTAGGTGAATACCATTATTCATTAAACTGCTCCGTGCTGTCTTCTTACAAAGCTCACTGCGTTCCAAGAAAATCAGTGATTTAGGAAAATAAAAACTGAAATATGGAGATAACTCATATCAGCTCTCCTTATCACAAAATTTATAGTTTTTATAATTATATTTTTTGAGGTTCTTTTTTTAAAGTTTGCAAATTTTGTGCTGTTATTGATTTTTTTGGACACATCCATTTCACAAATAAAGTTCAATATTTTGAAAAAAAAAATCAATAAAACAGTAGATCAAAGTTTTAACATGCGTATAAAAATTTCATTTGCCAGGTACGTAGATAGTAGTAACTTAAAAACCTAAACTGGAAATTAAAGAGACACTAAAAAATGTGCCTTTATAAACTTTGCCATGCAAACAATAACTACGAAAAACATCGAAAAGCTATAACTAAAAAACAACCGACCTATAGTTTTTGATACATGTCGAAGTAGGTGATTTGTAAAATAGAAGAAGCAACTATCAGATAAGTAGCCTTTTAACACGTAAACAAAAAAAAATAACGGACCTATAAGATTTTGGCAGAGAGCTACTGTTCTTAAAATTATAAGAAACAAGAATTATCATGGCACGTAAACAAAAGCAAAGCTATTCTAAAGTGAAAGCAACAATCAACTGACCTGGTTTTTGGAAAATAAACCAAAAGTACTATTTTCAAAACACATTTCAGGTTCTTATAAAAGTGACTATGATATTTTTTAATAGCATTCCTTTTTAGCAAATCGATTAAGCCATTAAATTTTTTCTATGGAATTGGTATAACATCTTGATAAGCATTGTCTAGATTTCAGTTTCACTAAAAAATGTTTTATAGAAAAACGTGTCGGGTGCATCTTCTTCTACTTTGAAAACACGCGGTCATTTATTTTGACAATATCGCCTGAACTGTCCCAATGAAGTTAAAAGAATTTTGAGTTACTTTTTCAAAATAAAAAAAAACATCTCTAGTACTTTATAAAGGGTTCCCGCCTTCTTCGTGCTTTTTACCAACGAAAATACAATTAACTAAAAATGACTATTTTCTGATATGTGCCCATTATTGCATCCAGTGAGCTATATTGGCACCACGTATATGACCTTTAATTTTTAGTAGTAACGCGCCTACATAGACAGAGATCTTGTGACCGTTTTGTTACGTCGACTAGATTGTTTAGCTGTTAGCGCGGTACCTAGAATTATTTTAAAAAATAGTTTGTCAATTACGGGTTAAATCATGACCTAAAATTTAAAACACTCGTTCGCTTCACTATATTTATTTTAGTAGGACATAAGGTTTTTGTCAAATATATACTTAATGTAGAAATGCATATTGACAGCTTTTGTTTATTGTTGCTATTGTCAAATAAAGTTTTAACTTTTTTTACATTTTTACATGGACACTAATAAAATATCACAACAAAGTAACGTTGAACTAAAAACGAATTATAGACCATTAAAAATAAAATCAATTTAAATTAAAACAAAAATAAATTTTCAAACTTTGAGTGGATTAGTTTATTTGTGAATATCCAACATATCCAACTTGGTTTAAGAGCAATCAAAAAATAAAATTGAAAAAATAAATAAGAAAAATTTTAATAGGTAGTCAAATAAAAAATGTTTATTTATCGAAATTTAACTAGGGAATGCAATCATGTTTTGTGACAAATCCTTTTGTATTAATTTCCTGTTAACTGGCTTCAAACTTTTTATAGAAAATTCGAAGACAAAAATAATCATAATGGCATTTCTTCAAAAAGAAGTACGATATTCAATACCACTAAGTGAAATAAATAACTGAAGAACTGTTTTTACATCTAACCCGATGGTAAAAAATGGTATATTATTCCAAAAATTTAACATAACTCTGTACAAAATTTTTAATCGCCTTTAATCACAGCACTTCAAGCAGTTGTAGAACTAGGACAGACCTTTTGTCTTATACATTGTTTCATGTCAAATTTTGTAGGTATATTTTGCATACATTATAGTTCTAACTTACTCAATTCATAATTTTTTATTTGCAACAAACTTTTTTATTAAAAACTAAACATACTTTTATTGTCAACCTTAAAACTTAGTTCCACCTTTTGTTGTATAACGACCGAGAAAATATTAATTATTTAAAAAACAATATTTTCAAAATTAAATGCAATTACAATTTAATTTCTCCAAATATAACCAATATTCCTTCATATCATGTTCAAAATTACTTACCTTGTTTCTTTGCTTAGTGTACCCTGTAACCACTTTTTCAAGCAGCCCTTTCAGCTATGCTTAACGAATTCTTTAAAAATATAATTGGCGGGGTGGGAACCCCAGGAAGACTGAAAGGAATTAAGGATATGGGATAAGGAACAAAGGATGGGAAAAGCGTTAATGGAATAGGATCAGAAAGGTATCACAGTTAAAGGATGGTTACGGATCACATCAATTTTAAATAATATTATGAACCAAATTAATTGATGACATAATATTGAGATCTGAATTCTAAGCACTAAAATTAATAAGGTTCAAATTATTAGAGATCCTTAACCCCAAAAAAAAAAAAAAAAAAGTTAAATCTGATAAGTGTCAAAATTTAAAAGAAAAACCAAACATGGAATACAAAAATGTGGGATCTCTAATAAAATAAATCAATAAAATATATAGGCATTATATGATTGTGAAATTGAATATTGCACCATCATACCTGTTACAATAATAAAAATATAATGCTGGATGATGAGTATAAAACAATTTTTCTATACACAGCCATTATAAGGAGCGAATAATTTTGTGTAAATATATAAATTACCCGAAATGGAAATTATTGGTACCTTATATCAACTGCATAATTTTTTGTAATCGAGATTTTAGTAATTACAGCTTTGTACTTTACTAACAAAAATACCCGTCATAATTGACGCTCTTTAGATTTTTTTTCATTAAACAACAAAACAGCATTCAATACGATGTTGAGTTATACATACGTATTACAAAATTGAATTGACCAAACAAGAAACATTTATATGAGAGTTACTAAAACTACAAAAAGCTAGGTTTTTATTCATTACCATTGTTTCAATACTCACAATAAATCAGTGCTTGCCCCGTTTAGGGCGGTAAGAGGAATTATTGAAACAATTGCTAATGAAATACATAGATTCTCAAATGCTATTTCGTTGCACCTGAAATGTAACATCTAACATTTATCACACACATTTGAGCGGTGCTCTTATTACAAACTCAAATTTAAAACTCTTACAATTTTAACAATTGAACAAAAATCACATTTAAGAGATAGACTAAATCAAATGTTTGAAACACTATACCTACCTAAACCTATGGCAATCACATTTCCAAATGATGATTGCATATCACAGGGCGGCTGAACAGGACAATCACTCTCATTTTAATCATTATTCTTAAATGTAGGAGATTTTAAAATTCAAAATCACATAAAGACATATTGTCGTGTTCACTCGCTACCAACTGGCTAAATTACATACTCTCCATTGTGTTCACTCATCATAAAAAATATATAAAGAAAAATGTCTTTAGTTTGTGTTACTCAATAATTGATAAAGTATGGGCTTGCAGATCAAGCTTGTACCTTGAGCAACAGTTTAAGCTGGTGTGCTATATCTTGGTGTTGTTCAATTGTAGGTTTTACAGCGGCACAAAAAGGCAACATCATAGTTCGGGTCGTTTGCATCCAGTGCTGAGGAGGTAATGGCAGCGCAGATGGTAATGGAGGCTCGGCAAATTTGCAGGCAGCATAATGCCCTGTCAAAAATCCCGGAGACGATCTGTCACCGGAGGCAGCCCTGGTTTGAACCCCCTTAATTGGGGATAACTTTAGCATAGACTCGCTAGGTTTTCTTGGCGAAGTCAAACCCTTTGTAAATGTGTTACCTCGTACTTTGCCTTGAACAACTTGGCCACTAGCATCAACTTTTCTTGGCATAGCCATTGTAATTCGTTAAGCGTTCGGTTAATTCCACACTTCACAATGACTACTACACTTTAGCTTATGTCTTTTTATGATATTAAAATATTTATTTCTCCTTTCGGGAGAATATCACAGGCCAAGATAATGAATTTTGCGCTTAAAAACCATCACAAATCAACTCCGTAGTTATACGACGCATTTTACCAAAATGGACGAATAACGAAACGAAAACAAAGAACTCGACTTCACCATATGTGATAAGGATAAAGATGTAAATTCGGCTTAAACGAATTCTCCGACGTCTCAAATTTTCGCAAATAGTGAAGTCAAATAAATGTCAAAGCTTTCCTTTGCTTTTGAACGCAAAATTCACGAACGTAGCAAAAAACTTAATTCACCTTGGCACAACAAAATAAATCTCTCTCTCCATCACTGATTTCTCACATCTTCTATTTTTAGAATCCCCACTCTCAAGCAAACCCAACAAAGAACACTTTTACTGTATATTAGTTACATCCTTGTCTTCCTCGTTTGTGGAAAATACCAACCATCGTTGAATTTGAGTCCGGTTACCCAAACGATTTCGTTTCATAGTTCGGCCAATCCCGAAGCTTCACAATCAACAACATAAATAATGTTCTATGACGCGGCATAAGGATTTGGTACATTGCATTCTTAACGGACATGAAGACCAAAACCTCTCTCAAATAGATGTCACACAATTTTAGCATTGTTCCGATGGCAGTCAAACATCGGTTTGGAAACGTAAATTCCTGTCACTCAACTGATTTTTTAATACACTAAATGTTTTTTGTCAGACAAAAATCAGCTGAGTGACAAAAATTTGCTTTTCTAAACCGGTTTCTGTCTGTGGTTGGAACAAAGTTAACGGATTGAGCTGTTTTTTGAGGACCTGGCGTCTTACTTGCCTTTAAAGACTCCCTTAACGGTGCCTTGTTTGATGGGGCTATTATTTTTATAAATCGCGGAAATGCTTGTTACCAAACTTCAGTAATTAATTCTATTGGTTTGTTAACCCTTTAATAACAAAATACTTTTGGACTTTGCGACGCTAGATCCTGAAAATGAAGATTTGGCATTGCGACTCGACATTCCATTGTAAAAACAATGCCCTTATGATTTTATACATAAGTAAAGGGGAACATTGAATTTACTTGTCCAGCTAACGTTTTGACTTTGGGTTAGGTATTATAAAAGCAAATTTTAATTTGTCTTTTCTTAATATTTCCATTGTGCTTCTTTTTTTGTGTTATAAAAGCGTCATGTAGGAATTTTAAAATGTTAGGTAAGTCTTAGGTATTACGTCTTAAACTGCTTAGTTATTTCTCCAACCAATTTTAAACCAATCCATGGTCTCTTATTTATTTAATTTAAAAAGTTTGGGTGGGGGTAGATTTCATGTACGCTAGATATTAGGCTTGTCTCATGTTTAACTTATGTCGCAATACTGTGGGTTTGTCTGTCTAAAAATGTTGTTCCAACTAGATTTGCGTTTCAAACCTTTTTAGTTAGTAAAATTTCATGAATAGTGCAGATTTAAGATTGTCTCATATATTTGACGGAGGAATTTGATTTGTAAAAAGTGTTTGTGAAGTGTTTAATACTTGTTTGTGGATCAATAGCGGAGCAAATGATAAAGTTGTTCATTTTTCTTGCTCAATAGAGATTGTATACAATTTTGTACAAGGTTGTTGTTGGTTTATTAGTAATACCGTTATTCTTAATAATTCTCTATTTTAGTGAACCAAATATAATGAATTCTAATAGCCACAATCAAACCCGTAGAAACTCATCTAGTTTTAATAGACTTCCTAATAACCATTCAAATCGTAGTAATCACCCCCACGGCCATCAGCGGTGGCAAAATAGATATCACAAAGAATACAATAGAGATTTTGAGAATGGCTTTAACCGAGGGTAAGCAATTTTAACTTTTTTATTACCGTTTTATTAAATATTTGTGCACAACCAAGTATGACCTTTGTTCAATTGTTGATTTTTTAATTTGGTTATGCATCATCAAATAGAAACTCTCCAGCCACAGTAATTTTGCAGCAATATATTTCTCGCACAGAGCTCAAAAATGTCTTGTTTTTCTACTTTTTGGAATCATTTAAGAATTTGCAATGTTTTCATACAGTTTTTATAATTATAGAAAGTGGGTGGTTTCTCATATCCTGCGCTTAATCTCATATTGGAATCTATAATTTAATCTTTGAAATGTATACTTAAGGGAGTAAGAGAAATATTTTTCTTTTGCAGTGAATGTTCGGTAGTATCAAATGGTAATCAGAAAGATTCAGGATATGTCCATGGGTTTCCAAAAACTCCACAGCTCAGCCCCCTATCTAGGAACAACCACATCCACTACAACAGTGAAGCATCTGGTATGTACAATCATACACAAAGTTCTTTGTCTTCATATTTTTGTCCCTTAAACTGCAAATTATAAACTTACATTGAACTTGTATGTAGTTAAATTATCAGTCAAATTGTTGTGAAATGCACTTGGAAATTTTACTGAGTTTAGAAGACTTAGACACTATGCTGAATGAAATTGATTATGTTATACTTTTAATTTGTTTTTGTTTGCAAATATTGACAATTTGTTAATAAAGAAATCTGCTTAACTTATGTATTTTATCCCATGTCAACATTTTATGTTGGACGGAAAAATCGTAACTAGACGAATGTATGGTTTTTTAGTGATTGTAGTATTTTCAAGTGCAGTCGATCATGAACATAAATTTTTATTATATGTTCTTAGTGTTCAAGCTATATTATTTTAATTTGTTTAAAATAGTACACCAACATTCAGATAGGCGTCATCCAATGACCCAAGGTTACCACAATGTCAATGTCAATGACCGCAGGATTGTTCCACAACTCAGTGATAGGCGGCACATCTCTCCACCATTGCACATAAATATATGTGATAGTGCGAGTAATATTAACAACCAACCTGAAGCAATTCGTTCTAGAAGCCTAATAGACTTTTCCCAAAGAAGACATACCAGGGGTAAGACATATTACCTAATAATTCATAATATTTGCGTTCTAATGACGTTTAATACTTTTGCACAGAAATGTTGGTGTCTCCCGTTCATTTTCAACCACCATCTCCGCCATATTATAGGCAGGCTAACGGCGATGACAGCATTAAAAGTGAGAGTCCGTCACGCAAGCGCCGAAGATTGTCAAGATCGGGCCATCATATTGATTTAGCTGCCGGAGGACCTCCATCTCCGCCACGCAGGTCACCAAGGCAACATCATCCACCATCCGCCATTCATTATCCAATACAGGTAACTAATTTTGGTTTCAACTTTATTCTGATTTATACTGAACTACCTACACTATTTAGGGAAGTCCACCACTCAGACGGCCACGGTATAGAGACAGGAATGATTTTGCTCACACTCACCATCAAACATTCCTTCCCAGCCCACCACCAGTACCACACCCTCATTCTCATCAGAACACTGTAATGGTTGATATAAATCAGGTATGTTACAGTTTTTTATATGTATAAACTTAATAATTAAGCCATATCTTAGGTAACTAGAACAAACTACAGATAATGGTTTGCCCAAATTCAAAAATAATTACTTTTGCTTTTATTGTGATAGCATATAGAGACTAACCATTTAAGAGGAAACTGGGAACACTTATTTGACATTAAATTTGAAAAGTCAAAACATCATACAACAACAAATTGACATAACCAAATCAGGGACGGCTGGTGCATATGCGCTGCAGTGCTGCAGAACTACCAAAAAATTAAGAATTTTCAGAAAAAAATCACAATTAAATAGTCTAAATATTTTTTTTACCAACAAATAAAATACATAATATTTCGCATTGGCATAGTCATAATGATAAAAAACTGCTACCCTAACTAGGTCGTGCTCTCAGAGCGTTTTCGAATACCCGCGCAGCATACCTCGACCCCACAATTTTCTCGCGATTTTTGGACTAATTTATTTATTTATTTTTTTACGGTTTTTACATTTATTAAAGACAAATAGAGAGAAAGACAGCCCTATAACAGGTACAATCAAACAACAACAAAATATAACAATGACGATAAATAGCAATATCAAGCTTTAGACAGTTGCATGCTTTCAACATTCTAGTAAGGGCCGAATGATCTCTATAATTTGCGAGGAGCATTGAGTTATCACAGTTTCTGTAATATGCGTTAAATTGTTTACGACAATCAGACCAACCATTCAAAATCTTCAAGAGAAAAAATAAATCACTCTGGACTCTTCTGGTTTGAAGAGTATCAATATTGAAGGCCTTAGTTATCATACTGCCGTTGATCAGATACCAATTATAGATATTAAAGTGCACCTTTGATGTCTTAAAACTACTTTCTCAACGTCTTCGATGTTATCTATAAATCTGGCATAATATGGAGACTATACCACAGATGCATGCTCCAGTGTAGAGTTAACCAAAGAGATATAGAGGAGTCTAACACAATATGGAGTAAGTTGGCCTCAGTTGAGTACAACAAAACTTCCTGACCTGTTTACCACTTCCGCAAAATGTATCACAAAACTTAGTTTAGACTCCATTGATGCTATATTGGTTGTCAAACATATCTTCGATTTGCTTACATACATGTGAAATGACACTTGGCAAATCAAACCGCCAAGTTCATTGCAAACTTTTTTACATTAGCGGGAGCATTTATTCGTAATAACGTTGGAAAAACATTTCTTACACAATATGTCGCTATTGTTGAATAAAGAACTGTTTGTTGTTTTATGGGTAATGTTTAACGAATTACTAGCAACACATTTTGTGAACGCAAAGCGAGTTAAATTTCTAATTTACCTATGCTATATTGTTCTAGCCCTTCAAAAATATTTGCATCACCTTAAAATGAAAAAGACAAGTTTAATGCTTCAATTCGACCATTTTAACCGTTTTTTTTTTTTCACCTAGCGCTTTCCGAAATATATATATTTTTAAATAAGTATATCGTTTTTTGTTTTACAACATTGATTTTGAATTTTTTTAAATATCTTTTTTCGTTGTATTTAATAGCATTAGAGAAAAACATAAATTTCAGTAATAATATAATGAAGCAAGTATTAGCTTCATCTGGAATATTTGAAATATCTGCTAATGCAATTTTGAAGTAGATAATTGGAAGACCTTCTAGCACCAAAGAATGATGCAACATATCAACTAAAGTGGACATGAGAGAAGTGGTTGCATTTTTATGTTACCTAATTTGGTTTTAATTTGTTAAAATCTCTATGTAGGTTCCAGTAACCATTCCCATGACTCACCACCACCACCATGACGGACCTCCTGTATGGAGCTATCCTGCTGGGGCGCCTCATATTTCTTTATGCGCCGCTCCGCCTGGTGCCCCACCGCATCTTCACTCTTGCCACGTCCATGGTCATGTGTATGCAGGAGCGCCCCTCGTCCCAGCTCCACCTCCGCAATTCACTACTAGTTGTTTGGCCCCTCAAGGTTACGGATTGGCGCCAAATCCGTTTGCGTCTGCCCCCGCCAACACAATACCTGTTTCTGGTCATCAGCATTATCCTATACCGACCAGACCCGAACTGGCAGAGTTGGAACTGCTACATCAGAGAGAGCAGCATCAGGCTTTACCGCAGTTGCCGCCATCGTTGCAGGTAAATGAAAGTGGACAAAAAACTGAAGATATATTCCATTTATAATTTGCTTAGGTTCCTCCATCAGCTGCTTCCTTGTTCCTCTCAGAAGCCCGCGGAGCGTCACTAGAAATAATGCGTCAGCGTGGCTCTCATCATAACACTCGGTTGACCCCACCAAGAGCACGTTGGCATCATAGCCCACCAATTATGGCACCTGCGCGGTATTCTGGATTCTTGTTACATTTCTTGACAATGTTCAGTAACCCTCCGATGTCCCCTTTCAGTCAGACAGATTTAAGTAGTTCCGATAGTACAGAAACAGAAGTGAGTTTGCATAATACTTGTGCTATAAAAGACAAAACTAAAACTACTTTTTATTTTTAGAATTACGAAGCTCTGCTAAATCTAGCTGAGCAACTGGGAGAAGCTAAACCCAGAGGCCTTGCAAAGCTTGAAATCGAACAGCTTGTCAGCTATAAGTACAATGCAGATACGCACGAAGGCGATCAGACGTCCTGCGTTGTGTGTATGTGTGATTTCGAAGCTCGGCAGGTAATTTTTTTTTATAAACATTGTATGTGCCGGGATGACTTCTTTTATTTCCTTTGCAGCTGTTAAGGGTGCTACCCTGTTCTCATGAGTTTCATGCAAAATGCATTGATAAATGGCTTAGGGTAAGTATATTAAATACGATGAGCTCGTGTCTTTCACCTTTTTTTTTGCAATTCAACGTTTTTAGAGGATTTACAGCTGTATCATATGTGATAAAAGAAATTCTATTTAATAGAATTCCTCAGTGCAAAAATAATGTACATATTTATTAATCTATTAATAAATATATTGTTTTTGTACTGTGAAAGTATATGAATAGAATTTTTTTTAGATACAGTGTTTCAAAAAAACAAATTAAATAGAATATTAAAAAATAATTTTAGTTTTGTTTAATAAACATGTGCCTGAGAAAGCGTGATTCAGAAGTTATGATTCTATAAAAGAGGCCTGAAAAAATCGTTTTTTGTAAAAATTTATGATAAGGTATACGATACCTAAATTAGTTTTCCACAAATATGTACCTTTGATTGGGCCATAAAAACTATTACTGACAAAATGTTTTGTACAGGAGCAGCGCTAATTGTTAGGTGCTACTTATTTTGCCCTCAAACTTTTTTTATGGGGATATTTTTGTTGGTTTTTGAGTAATTTGAGGTTTTATCAAGTAATGCTAAATGATTTAATAAATTATTTTAATTAATTTTCATATGTGAGAACTGTTTGAGAATATCATTGTTTTAGGAACCTTTATGAAGTCAAAATATTGTAAATTTTGAAGTTAAATTTTGTCAACAGTAACTTGTATGGAACAATTATGAAGTCAAAATATTATAAATTTTGAACTTAAATTTTGTCAGCAGTAACTTTTATGGAACAATTACGAAGTGAAAATATTGTAAATTTTGAACTTAAATTTTATCAGCAGTAACTTTTATGACCCAATTGAAGATATTTGTGGTCTGAACAAATTTTACACCGCATGATATGTGTGACAATTGATATGTATTTACCTTTTATGGTGTCACTATTCACTGTTCCTATAAAATTCTGGTTGCTATTTTTTTCTGAAATATGTAAAATAAGAATTAAATATTTCATTTATTTTTCTAGTCTTATGAAATAAATAGAACACAAACAATTTTATTTTATGTATTTTTTTTTTCAGTCAAACAGAACATGTCCAATATGTCGTGGCAATGCTTCAGACTACTTTAACAATAGCGATTAGGAGGCTATTGGGAAAAACTCTTAATCGAGTTTTAGTTGTCTTCTCCAGGTGCCATTAGTTGCCAGTAAATTAGAATATAAATGTCAAATAAAGCATCCAAATATTTATGTCTGCCTTTTCTCACTTGTGGCGTCGATTCATCCATGTAGTTATGGTAAAGTATCCTTAACGTATCTCGATATTTTCTAACATTTTAATAAGTATACAAGGTTCATGACTATAAAATGGTAAAGTATGGTAAATTCACAAAATTGATGAAGGGTGTTATTCTTTTCGTTTTTTCTCCTCGCCATTAAACTACTGATGAACAAGCGGGATTCAACACTTCTATTCCGGTAAAGACAAAATCTGATACCTGGAAAAATTTATTGTGTATTGTTTTAGACAAATAGTAAAATGGTAGTTGCTTTTGCCAGTATTTATAATTTCCTATAAGGTAATACCCCTCTCGTGCCCTACTTTGCCATTTTTTTTGTTGGAACCCAAAGTAGTAGGATAATGAATGCACTATACTCAACGAAAGTTTGAATACAACGGACATCTGGTGCCATATGTTCTCTAATCAACTATTAATAGTGCATCATACCAAAATATGTGTTTTATGAGACCATCCATTGAAAATTCATTGAAGAAATTAATTGATTTTTGGTGTCAAAGATTAACTTTGCCCTTGTTTTGATGTTTGTATTTGCCTGATAACTTTTAAACTACCTCTAACATAAAGTCTGCAGCATATTTAAGCAATTCGAAGCTCGCCAAATGGTTTCCAACATGTCATTCCCTCAGTACGCAGGCGTACTATGGAATTCGCGTATCTTTACCTATTTCCTAAATTTGCTGATCTCATTTAGAAAGTAAAAGTAAATTTATGTTCAGTTTGGCCATTAGATTTATTCACTTAGCACCCCTAAGCATTCGGGAACATTTGGCGGGAGTTACTATTAATTTGTTTAACTAAAAAATATTGTTAACAGATTTGTACTACTTGTTTTTGAGCACAATGATTTTTCATTTGTTATGCGTATGTGATCATTTTGTTAATAATTATTGCTTTTGATGTTTCATTGTTAATAATTTTGTCATTTTCCTTTTTTGTGTATTTAAGGAATAAGGAGCACAAATGCATCATTGTTGGTAAAGTTCATGGCTACAATTTCTGAAACTAAATATTCATTAGGGACATGTTCTTTGTTTAAACAAAATTTCAATAAAGCTCCAAAATTAATATATAACATGTTTATTCAGCAAAGTGATCACAATTCCTATTGTGGTTACTAAACACTTACTGTAGTTCTTAATTTGTAGCCATAGTCTTCTCTTAAAACATTAAATTGAATGAAAATTATCTAAGTTTGGGAACAATAGCAAGTTAGACTAGTCCGTACTATTGTAGAAAAGTAGGAAAGCCAAAAACAAACCTACAACCAACCAAAATCTGGAAATCTTTTGAAGAAATCCCCTTTGCATATAACCAAGTATTGGAGGGTCGATTAGTTTTGTTTAAGCAAAATCAATGACTGATTTTAAAACGTTAAGTCGCAATAATCAAAGTGCAATTATCGAGTTTTGGGAATTTTAGCCTAACGCCTTATTGAAACACAAACTGTGTCGGTTTATTGTCTAGGTTTAGTAGTATTATCCTTAGTAAATTGTAATGAAGTCGCTTTACATGTTTCCACTGTGCTTAGACAGACAATTCACAGTATATTGTACAGAGAATATTAAAAATTTATATATTAGGTGTGCCTTTAAATTGTACAATTTACTTTTTATGTCGTTTCGGCCTCTGCACCAATAAACGTTAACATTCTCCGAGTAAAGTTTAAAACGCGTATACAAAATAAAGATTCTGTATTTTTGAGTAGCATCTTGTAGAATAACTTGATTAATAGGAGTTGATTTAGTCTGTAAATATGTTAAGAGTGGTTGTTTCTTTAACTTTTTTTAAAGAATTTTGTTACCAGGAGTTTTGTTTAATATACTATTCAATCAAATTGCATTAAACCCAGCGTGTGGTTAATTTTACATATATTTGGTTCTGATTAATATTCAAAATAGATTGCCCAAATAGCAAATTCCATCTCTTTCATTAAACAAACATCTAATAAATGAAAGGCAACAAAAACAGCATTGTATTTTTTCTAACGTCATAATTTTTTAAGCTGAATTTTGTCTACTTCTGCCAATTCTTTTGTTCTGTGACCAACATTTCTCAATTAAAAAAAAAAAAATCCTGTTGAAAAAAACAAAGTAAATAATCACATCCCAATTTTTGTAACAGGTCGTTTAAATTGTCACAATGAAAACTTTTGATATTCCCTCAAGATAGTTTTAAAAATTACTTTAGTCAGAATATCAGCCCAGTGACAATCGATTAGGAGGGGTATATCACATATGCAAAGGGTTTTTAAAATCTCTGGGTTTAATGAAATGATTTCTTACTAACATTTTATATTTAAAAATTGTCCACGTTGATTTAATATTTTTTTGTACTTTAAATCAGCTGTAAAAATATAAGATATACATAAGTGATGTGCCATATTTAATCTCCGTCATTTTGTTATCATTGCCAGTCTAAAAAGGCTCCAAGAGCAAACTGCTACAGTAAAAAATTTTATTAAAAGAATAAAACTATTTGGAACAAAACAATTACTCCTTAGATTAATTTGTGTTTCAGTTTTTTATTGAACGTAATACGAACAATACTGTTTGTTTTATTAAGAAATATTTGAAAGATTTTGTTTTAAAACTCCTGTAAAAAAACTGTAAACCATTTTTGTTTATGGGGTAGGTATGCGGAAACATATCCAGTAGAAGTGCAATAGGACATATTAAAAAATTAAGGCAGCATTGCACGTGCATTCACAATTTTAGCGATTGCTACATAATCAAAATGTTTTATAGGTTGTATTTTTGTGGGTGTGACTATGTAAAGTGATACTTTTGCTTTAGTGACTTTTAATGTTTCCATATTTAAGTAGAAGCTTTCTAGTGCTACGATTTGCTCTTATTTCAATAAAATAATAAACAACACTTTGTTTCATGGTGTAATTATTTTTAAATTTTACCCACTCATTATAAAGTTAAAACCATTTGACAATTGATGCCAAAATGTAGGTATGACTTTTTTTAGGGAAGGACAACCAAAATGTGCTACCTGAAAAATGTAGCACAGTTTAGATAACACTTAAAAAAAAGTTTTAAACATCATTTTATACTATATTATTTGGTTATAAAAACTATCATTTGATATCTTGCGAAATGACATCAATTAAAAGCAATAAACATTTGTGTTAAAAATTGGTGACTGAGTACAATCTTATTTGGCAACACCAACTAGAGCTGGACGTATCACTCTTTCATGCAGCTTGTAGCCAGTTTTTGAAACTACCACAACAGTTCCTGGTTCTTTGCCCTCCGCCTCCTAAAAGGTAACAACCATTTGCAATTCACATATTGATAATAATTGGCAACAAACTTGTTGAAAGAGCGCTTCATGAAAATTCGGATCAAATTTTTCATTTATTGGATTGACTTGTTCTAGCCCATGCCGTTTAAACACATTCTTCAATTCTGCCTGAGTCATAGTAAGTCCTTCATATAGACTTTTTAAATGAGGATTTTTTTCACTAATTTCTTCTCTTGGGACTGTCTCCGTAGCTTTATTAAGGACGTCTGCAACATCCAAGAGATCCTTGCAAAAACTTTGAATACCATAGATTTTTGCATCTCCTATTTGTTTTGTCAATCGCTGCCTTAAATTTTCACCGTCTGCTAATGCACGCTTATATTTATCCTATAAAAGACGAAAGGGTAACAGGTTAAGCTGGAATAAAAACTTGAAGCAAGTTATTTTATTTACCACAAGTTCATTATTTTTTTCTGACAGTTCGATAATTTGTTTATTAAGCCTTTCAATGTCGGGATTTTTGCTTTCTACTGTTGGTTGTTGGGTGTTTTCTGAACTTTTTGTTTCTTCGATAGTATTCTTTTTTATATTCGACAATGTGATACACCTAAAAGAACAACTTGAACCTAATATTTTTAAACTGCATATAACCTCGCCTTACCGTGCACTGAAAAGGAGACTTTCTGCCAAACCTTGACCGTGTCTTAATATATTTCGCGTAACGTTCATTATAGCCATTTTCAATAAAACTAGATAATTTTTAAGAAAGCCTTGACCTTTAGGTTAAGTTGAACATTTCATAAAATTTTTGGAAATCCCAATGGCAAAAACAACAAAGGTTAATTGCCCATTTCTTGATCCATTCCACTTTTCGTTTTGCATCAAAAAATTTTGCGAGATCCTTATAGATATATATATATATATATAGAGGCCCTGCCTATACTAATAATACAGAAGTAGTGGAAAGTACAGGAACTTATGAAGGACTATGAAAAATTACGCTTACAATTTGGCGATAATGGACGAATAACCCTGACAAACTTGACTAACTTTATGTAAGGCAGATGCAAATGAAAGAATTAACTGTATATCCTGGCCAACAGATAAAAGAAGAAGAAGAATTAACTGTGTACAAAATTATAATAGGTTATTTAACCAATTTTGATAGATATACTTTATTTTTTGCATTTTTATACATTTGAATCCATTGAGAATACAATTATTTTCTTATTTGAAATTACAAATGAATACTGAATCATTGGGTGCAATAGAACATGAAGACGAAAATAATCTTAAAAAAGGGGCAGTAGCGGAAGCCAATGATCTTTTAAAAAATGGAATTTTCATTGAAACTAACACGGGGTAATGCATCTTGCACCCATAAAAATTTTTAATTCTACAATTTTATAGTGAACTATTTTTTTAGCCTTGTTTGTATGACAGTAAATGATGCTTTATCTAAGAATTTAAACCTATCTGTGGAAGATCTGAAAAATGTGGCTGCTCAACTTATTTTGCAGGAGAGTATACTGGATACCAAACCAACTACTGGATTGAGAATTTGCGAAAGTGATGGTTTCTCTAGTGAATGTAGTGATAGCACTTATGTTACAAGTGAACCTTCAAGTAAGAAACATGATTTAAATCTAATTAACACATTAATGAGTATTATAAGGTATTATTTTTTATGACTATGTGGCTATACACAGAAGTAATATTTTGGGTTTTATTTCTCATGGATGAAAAAAAAACTTGTTAACTTATATCACTTATTCTATTAACATATTTTGGCTAGTCCCAAAAATTAGGTTTCAACAGAAAATTTTAACATAACATTGTTTTAATGTAGTATTTATTTACACATTACATTTTATGTTTAAACTTGGTAACAAAGCAAAGGATTGCTCTTTCTTTGTATCTTCTAGTTATATGTGTACATGTTATAACTTTCAAACAGGCAGTTTCAGCCGACCAAAAAGTTCTGTTAGAACTGATAAATCAAGTGAAGAATCAGACTCAACAAAAAGCAGTATAGATGTGATTAAAAGTGAATCTTCAATATCATTTTACGAGACTCCTATTATTACTAAGAAGAAGGGAAGGGGTGGTTGGCCAAAAGGCAGAAAACGAAAGCCTGAATTGCTTAACTTACCTCCAAAAGCACCAGCAACTGGTTACAATTTATATTTAAATGAACAAAGAGGTTATTTTAAAGACAGCAACCTTCTATTCTATGAAATAACTAAAATAATAGGAAATAAATGGTCTAGTTTATCTCTAGAAGAAAAAAAGCCTTATTTGGATAAAGCAGAAGAAGACAAAAAGCGATACAGAGAGGAACTTAAACAATATAGACAATCTGATGCCTATAGAACCTATTTAAGTAAAAAGAGAAAGAAAAAACTGCAGAACAATGTACTTTCTGAAAGTGATATGGATGCTACAGATGATTTTGATGCAAGTTTTTTCAGCTAGTGATGTAATTTAGTTTAATGATTTACTTTAAAGTAAACTTTTAGGAAGAAGACAATGAAGAACTTTATTGTCGAACCTGTGATCAATGGTTTCATAATTTTCATAATAAAAAGGAACATTTGCAGGCAAAAAAACATTTAACTTCAGTGGCAGGAGATATACATAGAGAACTAAAAAATAATGATTCTCAATTTGTTAGTACTTCTCTTGATGAATCTAGTCTAGACTGTATGTCAGATTCCAGAAATACTCAAGCTGTTAAGACATCCAACAGTTCTATTGATGAAGCAATGAATAATTTATTGGTATTAGTCTACAGTAAGTGGTTAAATTTCTAATAATGTTTTTGTTTATAAATGTGTATTAAATTACATTAGGCTTAAAATTACCTTAGTTTAATACTCAGACTCTTTTGATCTTGATTTTTATCATTAGGAAGGGACTGTGAAATAAAAACTCTCAGGAACAGGCAGCAAGAAGCAATCGATCAGCAAAAGGCATTATGTCAGCAACTGCTTCAACTGAATGAGAGGTACAGTAAACTTCAAAGAGATCTGACTCAACTAAAAGAGAAGGAAAAAGATATTGAAATGAAAATTTTTCATTTATGGCAAGTTCCTAGTTGGTTTGATGTGAATGCTGACAATACAGAAAAAAATTAAACTTGCAAAAATTGTTTATTTATGTAAATACAAAACGTTAAAAGTTACTATTAAAAAAATAAAATATTAATATTTTTTTATGAATTTTATAAAAAATATATACAAATTCATTTCTCCCATCTATATTTTAAGTTAACATGCTTATATGACTAACCTTTCAAAAAATATATATTCAAATGTTTATGGAACCAAGTTTTCATTTCCACATATTCTTGGTCGGGCAGTAAACAATACGTACTAATATCTTCCTGGTACAGTAAGCAATAAGATAGTAAATATGTTTGAAAATCGCAACTTACATTTTTAAGTAATGATTAGACATTTGGTTCTTGTGTATCAGAGACCAACTATATCTTTACACGTGTGGTATATTTAAAGAACTGTTTCTGCATAAGACTAATCAAAACATTGTTTTAAATAGAATTTTATATAATACATTAAAAATAAATCAGAGAAAATGGCTTGTCAGATAAGAACAATAAAAAGTCTATGTTGTGTGATGAAAGTTACTTATAACTTTACATTTCTATTGCAATTGTAGGATTCGCCCTAAAATAAACTAAATCTATAATATATATAAAAAAAATTAAAAATTTACCCTTAGTCCAGAAATAACTTGTCTTAATCAGACTATTTTGTATTTAAATTTAGTTGAGGAAATAAAATCCCATCAAATTTGCGTACCCAGTGCAACATACTCCTGGAGTTGATCAATACCGACTCATACTGTAAGACCAGGTTGACATCAGGTATTTAATCATAGGCCTTATTTTTTTTCCTTCCTTACCTAAGCAAAGTTAATGCCAATAAACAATATGCAGGTAAGTAATAAATAAAATTGAATTAAGTAACAAATTTACATTTAAGCATCGAAAAAATGTCAAGATTAACTTTTTTATTTTAAAACAAAATTTTAGCTCCATAACATCTGCAAGCAAATGTTATCTTCTTTAAATTTGCCTGCTGCTTTGTCTATTGCAAAATATAAAAAAAATAACCCAAACTAAATGAACTTGCAACATTTACTTTTAGTATACTGAGCTGCACTAATACAGAAATAAAGAAAAATTACCAGGTCTAAACTTAAATTAATTGCTTAGCAATCAAAACCGAGCCGTTCTTTTATTTGGAAAACAGATTTACATGAAAGCAGCAAATACACAAGGCTAGATGCCTTGCCTTTTAAAATAAATAATCAATTCATTCTTTTTTTGCTTTAATTTTTCTGTTTAGATGAATGGATTAGACTTTGCATTTAATTAGCGATCATTTTCAATAAAAGATATATTGCATTGATACATAGGTCGTTGGATCCCTTTATAAATTATTATTTTGACCAAGTTTCAGTATGTTTAAAATAGAACACGATAAACTTGTTTTTTTTTGCGTATTGAGTGGATGTAAGACAAATTGTGAGGTTTTTGAATCTCATTTCGTAACGAAGCGACATTATATGTCTAAAAAATAACTATTATATACAGGGTGTCCCATCGGGAACTTCTTCGATTTGTTAATAAAAAAAACATATGCTGCCGGTCGTCTCACTCAGATTAGTTGAACTCTAATATCAGGCTAAAAAAATACAATAAATGTCAAATATCACAAAAACTAAATATTCTGAATATACAACCTAATACAGAGTGATCCCAATTTTTAATTCTAAACACGAGACATTTGAAAAAAACATTTTCGCCAGTTTTTTAAATTTTATTTTCATTGTGATTTTTTGAACATCTTGTGTTATTAACAATCTAAATTTGCTCAACAGACATGGTGAGTCAATAGAATAAAAATTTTGCTGCTTTATATTTATAGTTTCAAAAAAGTATTTTAAAGAATGACACCATTATATTTAGATAGATTCATTTTTTGACGTAATAAATTTGTAATTTGAATCTATGCAATACCTTTTTTGTTTGGAATTTCTTTGTTTTCATCGATTTTTAATTTTATTATTTTAATTTGATTTTAATTTTATATCCTCATATCTACCCAAAAGAGCTTTTTAAAAGTACAACCCATATAAAGTGCTACCACTGGCGCGATCGACGGTCACACACGAGAGAACCGTTCCCGCCGTGTAAACATGATACCACGCATCGTGATTACAACAGCCATTGTAAATAATTTTAGCATTACAGCAACATAGATTCACTTTTACAGTTTGGGGGGCATTGTTACTGCTGAAAGCACTGTAATCTAAAGCGGAAATTCCCCTCCTAGTTCCCTTTTGCACTGCTAATGCTTTGTTTAATTCTTGCAGTAAACAATAAGACTTGGAATGGCGTTTGTGTTCCACAGTTAACGCGAAATTTGTATGATATAAATTAAAAAATTAGCAAAAATTTATTAAATGCTTCAAAAAATGGACGGGTCAATGCGAAGTATCGAGATCTATCGAATTTTGGAAATAAATGACTCTCTGGTCCAGTGCAGTGATTGCGGTTTTAATCGATCCAACTCAATACGGAGAGCTAGAAGGAGAATAACGCGACATGCACCCAGAACTGTTGATTGTGTTCTAATACAAGCGAAATCACACTTTCGCCAAAGGTTTGTTTTTTTAGTTAACATGTCCGGTACCAAATTTGCACTAAGTAAAAATCTGGATAACAAAAGAAAATATTATAAGGTGTTTCACAAACAAATGCCAGATGTTTCTTTCTTTAAAATAAAGGGTAGTTTGTTATATAAACCTTGGGTTGCAAGCCAACCATTAAGTAGATATCACGCTACAAATATGGTGGAAAATAATTTTTTTGTTTTTCGTCTTTTGTCCCCCTATTATTATTTTTAATTAAATTTAAATTTTATTTTGTTTTATTAAGAAACTTTTTTGTCCTATGTGATGTTTTCGTAATACTTACTGCTTCCAATTAAAAAAATAAAATGTAAAGCATTGCATGTAGAATAAAAATATTTTTGCAAAATAATTTATTTGGGTACTGATAAACAATTGTATTTTGCTTTTATATCCATTATGAATGAATAACTATAATACCTTCTTCAAAAACAATTTATTTAAACACCTCACGAAAAATAAAAAGACAATTTTTTTAGAAAGTGTTATCAATATTGAACTAAACCCGTATTTTTGGACAACTAAATGATTAGACAATAAACTTTTCATTAAATTAGTCGTATTTTTCATTCAAACTAACTGAGAAATGTCAAATAAAGCAATAATATGAAACGCCTTAAGAAGTGACAACAGCCCATAGTTTTTTTTATCTCGCTATGCATTGGTTTAGATTTTGTTTTTAATTAATTAATTAATGATTAGTTAATTTAGTTCTGTTTTCAATTAAAAACAAAAATGAGTTCTGCAAAATAATAATAACATTAATATAAATAAATAATAATAAAAATCTTAAATAATTTTTTGCATTTTAATAATTTTAATAATTTTATCGTTGCATAAGTTTTTCCATAAATTGAGTTAAGAAGAATGATAGGAGTAGTGAACTTCAATACCCTCCATTCATTTACTTAATATTTACGTAATATTTTATTGTTCGTTTTTAAGATAAAAAATAAAAACATTACTATTCCGCCATATTTGTAGTGCGATATCTCCCTTATGGTTCGCTTTTGACCCAACGTTTATATAACAAACTAGCTACTACCCCTTTAAGCTTTTCGCATTTGTTTTCAAACACCCTGTATAGTTGCGTGCACACTATAGTAACTGATTTTGCAACAGTGAAATTTAGGAGCATGCGAAAATGTTATATTAATTAAGGGCTATATGGAATTACCTAATTTCGCTTGACTGAAATTTATTGACACTTCATGAAAATAAATTATATTTTTAAGTAAACATTTACGCCCTATGTATTACTGAAATGCAATTTATGCCTAAGGCAACAACAAAAGAAATGTATATAAATATTGTTGTAGATTATTTTATTTGTAAAAAAATATTTTCAAAAATTACAAAATGAAGACTTTAAACTTTTCTGTGGATGAATATATTTTCCGTTCACCTCACCATGAACATAATAATAATTATTATTTTACATGCAATCGAGTTCCAACAAAATCAGTTATGACAGTTTCCGTTCAAAAATATTTTAATACCTAGGAATTTATTTTCTATTTGCGGATAAGTGTGCATGTTTATCGGAATGACCCTGTAAGTTACTATATACGCAAAGATTTAATTTGATATAAAAATAATTAATTATTTCTTCATTAAAACAAACGTTTTAATTGACGTTTTTTTATCAGTTTCTCCAGTTATATCGCGATATAAATCAGCGTGGAATTTGTATTTGATAAACAAAGATATTTTCTCCTGAATTTAGTAACGAATTTGAAATAAATTGTGACAATTTTTATATCACGCGTACAAGTCGTATGATAATTCGATCAGAGATAGACCCACTTGATAAAAATACACAAACCATAAAATTTTGTATGCAGATAGTAAAAACTTCCGTGAATATGTTTAAGAAAAACGATGTGATAAAGCACGGCGTAAACTAGAGGTAGATTTTGTGTTTTTTTATTGGCGATACAAAGCGTTGCTTTAAAAAATTATAAAGTTATAAATATTATGTTTATTTAATTAATTATTTTTTTAATTTGAAGGTTTATTTTTAAACGGCTGAGAGAGCTTCAAATGACGCACGACAAACTAAAAAAGAGCGTGGAAGTGAAATTCCTGAAGAAAGAAATAAGAATATCTTGGTTTATTAACCGCAAATGTAGGAAAATCCACCCCGAAAGTAATTCAAAGTGAGTATTAGCTGGGATCATATTTTTTACTTTACTGTAACTTTAATTCAGCAATATATCGGACACTAGAGAATTTAATCATCTTACAAAAGTTTTACCCGAAAAACAAAACATACACACTGTACAAAACATCCTGTAGATGCGAGCTGGCTAGTTATATCCGGTATTTTTATGAAATATATTATATGCGAATGGTCCATGATTTCACACATCTTTTGTTAATATATGTAACGGAAATGGGTTTATAATGGGAGCAAATGCTTTATATTTGTTCGTATTATAACTAACGTTATTGCGGTTAGAATTCTTTCAAATATGCTTTGGAATATCTAGAGACGAATTTACTTTCATCGAAAAATGAGAATATTTAAGTACATTATAAGGAAAGTGCGCAAGGTAAAGAAGAAAATTAAGTAAGTCAACTTTCAATTTAATCCCTCTATATAGGTACGTAATCAGTAACAATGTATGACTGAAGAAACTATCTCCGTGCGAATGATAGCAGATACGACTCGAGATAACAATTAATAAAATTAAATTAACAGTCAAGTAGGTACGGTTTCTTAAAAATCTGCGATCAAGTTGTTAAAAAAAACAAAAATGAAGACAAACAAAAATTTTTAATGCATGTTTGTATGACGCTCTTTTTACAAATAAAATTTCAGAGGTATTTTTTAGGTTAAAATTGTAAAATTCTATTTTTGATGTGAACACAATATTTTATAAAAATATATGCATGTTGGGAAAACTCATTCTATTCCATTTCACTTAATACAAATTCAAATTGAATGTCAACATATTTTTTTACTTTAATTTTGTTGTTAGTTACAAATATAATTAATAAGAATTTATGAAAAAAAATGTAATATTTTTTGGAAAATTTCTTAAATAAATTGGTCTATTAAAATTTTGCATATAACCTGACTCTTTTAAGCCAAGTTGACCAAAAGTTATGTTAAGAAGCGTCGAATTGTTCCATTTTAAAAGTAAAATTTAAAAATTTTAAATTTTGAAAACTTATTCCCTTAAAAAACGAGACAGAAAATATATCAGAAGCGAGATTTTTTCTTTCTAGAACATTGCAGGTCTTTCTTGCCAAACAATTATTTCATTTCATCAAACAAACCGTTTATTAAATCCTAATAATATTATAATTTATTCTTCTTCTTCTTATTTCATTTTATTATATATTCTGTAAAAACATGTAGTATTGTGGAAAAGTTATTTTTGACACAAAAAAATACATTCTTAAAAGTGAAATGGACCTAAACTATTCGCAAAAACAAATAAAACTTACGAAAAATTCATAATCTCAAGTTTGATATTATGCCCTGCTGATTAAAATATTTGCACGAGATAAGTTGCAAGAATTGTCCGCAATTAAGCGTAGTTAATCGTAGGATATGAATAACGAGAATATTTACCCACGGCATAATTGTTGCTGTGAAAACCCAAATATGAAAGACTTGGTTGTATTCCCGGCAAGTACGGAATGGAAATAGCAAGCGTAAGATAATTTGTACCAGACGTTTCGCGTTTGCAAAGAGCGTTGGTTGATAGTTGTTCTAGGTTCAAACCCTAAAGTGTGTGCTAATGGATACCGAAAAGAAAATATGGAGGTCCTTGTCAATGAAATACGAAAAGCAAAAATCGTACCAACGTGATAACGATGGGTAATAAAAACCACAATTTCATGTTTAAATCTGTGGCGTGTATATTTATGAACGTTTAAGCAGTTTAAGTGGTTGAATACAAACTTATTGTGTTGTTAAAACGTATTTTGAAAAAATAGAGATTTGCTATTCGCTTCCAAATATTTATTTGCTACTCTGCATAAATGTAAGTCCATTATTTGCAAATTTTACGGTTTTAAAAATAACCTAAGAAATTTTGGAAAAATAAAAATCGAAACTTACCAACTTTGTTACTTGTAAATTCGTACTTGCCTAATTAATCTATAATTTGAAATTGTAGCTTCTTGGAAAATTAAAAAAATATTTTACAAGAATATTTTTTACAAAAATAATTTGAAAATTTAGGTTTTTAATGTTTGACTTTTTGATCGTAATTCTGCCCATTTCACCATGCACCAAAATGATTTTTTATTTTTTTACTTGAAAACGGTGCATCGTTCGAAAAGAAATCAACAGATTAAATTTCCAATTGAATGCGGATTTGGAAAATACTTTTTATTTATAAAAAATGTTCGAGATAAATCTGGTGCTGCAAAAGCAATGTACAAAATGTTAATGAAATAGCTAAAATGGTTTGAAAATTATGATACAAAAAACGTTTTTTATTTAGAATTTCAACACCCTGTATCTCAGAAAGGAAGCGTTTCCGGACATGTCTTTATATGGAAACTAGAATCCAAAACAAATTGGGACACATGTTATATATGAAAAACAGATTTATTTTTGACTGCTTAATATACAATTCAAATCTTTACATTAAACTTTGAAACACTCTGTATTATTAATCCTTTTGTCAATTTAGTATTTAAAAAGTTGTTAATTTGCACAGGAACCCTGTAGTCCCTCTGAAAGATGTCCCCGCCCACATTATATACTTAGTAATAAATGTTCAAACTCTTGCTAGTCTTTGGTTTAGGCCAAACCCTGCTGCAATAGTTCTTCGTTGCTGTTTTAATGTAAAATATATAACTCGCCCTGAAAATAATTTTACGTACTACATGAAATCTTCAATGGCAGATCTGTTTTAAGAGAACTTTCTCCGAATCAAACACAACAAAATCGTCTTTATATGAGTTTGCATGACAAGGACATCGCAGAGCGGAATGTTCACAGAAAATCCGAGCGCTTACAGAATATGACTCGCGTGTATGAATCAGTTTGTTTAAATTTGCGTCCGCAACTAGTTTGGTGGTAGTGATAAAAAAAACGTTATTGCAAAATGGATATGGAAACGGAAGATTTGATGTGGAAACAAATATATACCAAGTTAAACACCCAAAAATCGACTGCAATAGTACCGACGGAACACGAATTTAGGTATGCCAAAAGCCTTTTCCAATGTAAAACCAAAATTTAGGAATAGGCAAGACAGGAAGTGTAGTTAGGTTTACTTCAAGTATACATATTTATTTAGGAATCAGAGCTAATTCTGACCGGTTTTATTAGAACGCGGCATTATATTTTTGTTTGCTTTTACCAAAAATGATGTCATCCGCTAAAAAAACATTATACATGAGCACAGAGAGTAACCGTACGCGATCAACATAGCATAGGTATGGGTATATCGGGTTGCATAAACTAAAAACTCTTTAGCTAGAATTGTTTATTTTGTAGGCCATTCTGTGTTATTTTCCTTATATATTATCTGGAATCATAGGTATAAATGTACATGTAACCACACTCAGTTCTAGAAAGAATGTGTTTCATGCACTAAAAAAACATTTGACAAGTGTGGCAACACTGCTTTTCCAGCTCAATTTCGAATATTTTGAGAAGTAGATTATGACATAGAACCCCATGTGGATTTTGTTACTGAATTAAATTAGTTTATTTAAGTTTGTTGTCCTTAATTAAAGGTAATCGACGTAAGAATGAAACATGCGCAGAATCATCTGTTAAGCCACTTTTATTATTTCTATCCATACCGTTGTTAACCTCAGTTTTTAACAAAATAGTAAATATGTTTAATAAGGTATTATACATAAAATACCACACCACAGCATTAAAGTTAGGGATTACAGCCTTCAAAACAATACCGTTTAAATCCGAAAAATCGTTTATTAACGGGCAGTGGGTAAGTGCTCAAAGTGGGAAGAATTTAGATGTATTTAATCCAGCTACCGGCACACTTGTTGGAACTGTTCCTGATATGAATACAGCTGATACACAGATAGCCATTGATTCGGCTTCCAAAGCTTTTGAAACGTGGAAAAATACTACTGCTAAAGAAAGATCACAGATTCTCAGAAGATGGTACAGCCTCATGTTAGAAAACCAAAACACTATAGCTGAGATAATGACTGCAGAGTCAGGAAAATCATTACAGGAATCAAATGGTGAAGTAATTTATGGAAATTCATTTGTTGAATGGTTTTCAGAACTAGCTCGCCAAGTAAGGGGAGAAGTAATTCCCAGTTCAGATCGTTCCAAGAAAATACTAATCCATCACCAGCCAATAGGAGTTGTGGGACTTATAACACCATGGAACTTTCCACATGCCATGATTACTCGCAAAGCCTCAGCTGCTTTGTCTGTAGGATGTACAGTTGTTGTTAAACCTGGGGAAGACACCCCATTAACAGCTGTTGAAATAATGAAATGTGCTGAGAAAGCAGGTTTTCCACCGGGTGTCATAAATTTACTGACGAGCAGTCGGGAAAATACAGCAGAAATAGGCAGATTGTTATGTAAAAGCCCTCTTGTAGCGGGAATTTCATTTACTGGTTCCACTACTGTTGGTAAAATTCTTTATAGTCAATGTGCTCCTGGTATTAAACGGATTGGTTTGGAACTCGGAGGAAATGCTTCTTTTATAGTATACAAGTCAGCTAACTTAGATAAAGCAGTTGAAGGTGCTCTAACTTCTAAATTTAGAAATTGTGGTCAAACATGTGTAGCTTCAAATCGTTTTCTAATACAAGCTGATATTTTTGATGCATTTGTTGATAAGTTAGTTGCAAAGGTCAAAAATTTAAAAATAGGTAATGGTTTTGATGAAGGAACTCAGATAGGCCCTTTAATAAATGAAGCGCAACTTCATAAAGTTTCAAATTTTGTTGAAGATGCAGTGTCCAAAGGGGCAAAAGTACTAGTAGGTGGCAAGCCTGCTTCTCATATAGGTAAATTATTTTATGAACCAACTGTTCTAAGCAATATTACTAGCAACATGCTTGTCTATTCGGAAGAAGTTTTTGGCCCAGTTATAAGTCTTATTCACTTTAATACTGAAGAAGAAAGCTTACATATTGCCAATAGTAATGATGTAGGTTTAGCAAGTTATTTTTATTCTGAAGATATCTCTCAGGTGTTTCGAGTGAGTCACAACCTTGAAGTTGGTATGGTAGGAGTTAATGTGGGATTAATATCAGCAGCAGAGGCACCATTTGGTGGTATAAAACAATCAGGTTTGGGCAGAGAAGGTTCTCATCTTGGCATAGAAGATTACACTTATATAAAATACACATGTCTTGGAAATCTTTAATAAAATGTTCTTTATTAATATTAAAGACACTTAAAGAAACATTTAGAAAATGGGGCTGTCACATTTCCTCTTTTTTATACTCGTAGTTTTGCCATCTCATTTTTAAGTGGGTAAATAGTTTATTACAACATATTTTTCTTTATTGGACTTTACAAACTAGGAATAATTACATACATTATTGCACATAGTACTAGCCCAAATTAAGGATTCTGCACTCTTTTTATTGCTAGTTTCTGTCCTACTTCTTGTATTCCCTTAGGTATCAAATATTGAAATTCTTTATTTGTTGTTTCCACAATGGCATTGTTATTATTATTAGTTTGGCTTAATTTTAATATTAGATAATAAAAACCTATTGTAGTAACTAAAGTCTTCCAGAGGTCTTCCATAAATAAATATTAGCAATAAAAAAATGTAAAAATTTCAGAACAAGGTAGAATCAAAAACTCAGGTATCGGAAGTGGGAATTCAAATCTGCTGATTTGAATGATATTGTAGAAATTGATTGAAGATGATTATAAATAATTATTGTCGTTTGTTTAAATTATTAATAAAAATATCTATAATAATATTAGTTTTTATTGTTTTAAAAACCTACCTATCAAAGATTCTATGTACCAAGCGAATTTCCTTTTATCTGAGCATGATTCTCGAGCATAATGCCTGATGATGAACGTAGAACCACTAACCAAAAACGCATTTTGGTGTGTGGTTGGAAACGGGCTAAAACATGGCTAAGGCGATTTGTTTAGTCACTTCCCGGGATCGTTAGTTCATTTCCTGTAATTTTTTGTACTTATTTTCAATCATGGGCATTTTGGCCAAAGAAAAATGCAAAATAAATTCTATAGAAATATACAGGATATCTCATTTAAAAAATTCTTTTTGATGCATCAAATTCTCTTAATTCACAAAATTATAACATATTGAAACTTGTTGCTTTCAAACAACGAATATAAGATTTTTCTCGACTGAATCTGAATCTCTTTGCGTTTCAGATCGACTAAAAAATATAGATCTGTTGCGCTATAAAACTATCATCAAATACAGACGTTCGTCTGATCTTGGGACATTTTGCATAAGAAAACAATAAAACTATACTATTTCTAAAAATTGACGTGAATTAAACAGTAACAGTAAATTGTCTTTATACAGAATACAGCAAGTAGATGGAGGGTTTTTCGAAAAATTCGGAATGCTTTTCCGCGAAAATGCGGAAATGGCTGCTACACAAGAGCAGCTGGAAAAGGAAAAAGTAGCTGAAGCGGCCGCGCAAATTATGCCTAGTATCAGCAGAGAGGACAGCGGAGAAGTACTTTTGACTGAATCAGGTCAAGTTGAAAGCGAAACTGAGGATATTTCTGAAAACTCCCTGACCAGTTCGGATTCCGAGAACGAACAGGACAAAGACAAAACCGAGTTTATATCGGCAGCCTTAAACGTAAGTGCTTTGAATATTGTTCCGTTATTTTTTTTAAATACACACACATAAATGACAAGTTTAATCCCTGGATGAGCGTTTTAATAATATGTTTTAAAAACTGTAAGAGAAATATTTTTTTAAACTCGATTTGATGTAATAAGAAAAAAAATTAAAATAGTTTTTCTAGTTGCTATTCTAAAATGCCCAAATATGGCACGGATCACGCATGCGTGCCCAAAATGTCAATTTAAGACGTCTGCTACCCACTATAGCCAACCATTTCTGGCGATTCCGGTACTTTAGCCCTGGGTTTGGGAGCGATCGGGAGTGTTTTTTCACTGAAAAATGTAAGGTGGTACTTACACTTCCATGATTTAGAAATGTGACATTAGATGTAGAGAACAAAAAAAAAATTAACAACTAACGCTAACTATACGACTATTATTTTTTGTATTAAAAAAAATAGAAACCAACCAAAATAGCAGAATTCTAAGTCGATAGCTTTAAATTTCAATATCAATGGCACACAAGTTCAATTTTAACTTTCATCAAAATGAATGACATGTAAAAATTTATAGCATTTTAACTTTGGACACCCTGTATTTTCTGAACCATCAATATTTATCAAAATGAATGACATTTAAATGAAGAAAATGTAAAAATTTATAGCATATATTTTATTAATGCGTTTAATGCACCCAGAAACTCGCACTTGCAGCTCGCAGCATTACAAAGTGTATAACTTATCAATAGCGCGTTTATTTACGGACCAATTAACCGGCCGCGTGAATTTCTGGTCTAATTTCTTTTAGTTAAGTACCCACGCTAAACGTTTAAAGGTTCTGTTATGCAGGCCTACTCACTTATAAATCTGCGAGCGAGTGAAAATATTCGACCTTCGAGATAAATTCGTGGCTTTCGTTACAAGCTTATAGATTTTATAATTTGTATATTTTGAAATGGATATTCTTTTTTAGTTTGTGAACCAGATTGCTTTAATTAACAGTCATAAAAAGTTTTATGTTCTAAACAATATTACAAAAGAAAAGGGCACAAATACTACGACCGAATTTAAACCGGTTGATGGTACATGTATTGTATGCTGGGCACAAATCTGCCATAATTGTTGTAGGTCTAGATTTACCAAATTAACTGGCAACGAGAAAGATATTTTTAAATTGTAGTGTATACACCGGGTTCGAGTTATATCTCGGCAAACTCGCATGCTTCAAAAAGTCACTTAAGTAGTGATGGGCGAAAAACGGAATGTAACGACCATTCGATATATGTATAACCCAATATTTTATTTAATTTTGCGTAACTTTTGCCTGTCACATACTATTTCCGTCAATTATTTTAATTTTAACAACAATTTTGACTTTTCCCAAAAAAAGCTAATAATAAAATGTTAAAATTAATTGGTTAACCATAAGAGACCATCTTACTGAAATTTCATTCATATAGGATCTGATGACGATGACGATGAAGTTGATCCCTGTTCATCAAAAGCTAGCGGTATAAGTTTCTTTAAAAACGCTAATTGATTAACTTTTTTCGTTAATCGAATAATTAATTAATTGAAAACTGTTCAATGCTATCGTTTTTTCAATTTTGTGACCATTTTGAAAATTGCTTGTCAGTGTTGAGGCCATTTGAATCATATATTGTTTATGTGTTTATATTAAGTAAGCCATGAGCTCCCTGAAGGTCAATTAAATGCATGGATCAATTTTCAAAAATGAAAAATACCATAACAACAACCACACATCGGGGAATTTTTTTAAAATATAAAATAATACAATCGTATTCAACTGTGGGATAACGAAAAATTTTAGAAATAATCTAAGGAAGCCATTGCATTTTTGTCAAAAAAATAGCAATTTTAAAAATGATCTAAAACTGAAGAATTGTTTAGACAAAGGAGTTTCCTGTCAAAACACTATGTATTACAATAAAGTTGGGCAAAAATTTTCGGCATGCTGGTTGTGCCAAATCTTTTGATTTGATATGAACTTTTTTATATTATTCAATCGAATTTAAGGGCTTTATAAAATAATTTTAATTAGCCTGGTCGGCGCGTATCCCGACGAAAAAAAAATAGGTCAGCGTTATCATCGATGAATAGAAAAATGTTTTGATGTAGGTAAGGTAAATATCGCAGGCAACACGCAACTTATACGAGAATAGATTTTGGCACGGTCGCGCTCCATCTTCAGCAGTATTGACCGCAGTCGCAACTCCGGGTCGATCGCGTCGAAAACAATACCAAAAAGCAACTTTTTTTCGTGTTCCTTTAAGTAACTCACCTTTTTTTTGCGTTCTTTTATACCGTAATAAGCTGGGCGTATTGTAAAATTAGTTGCGTATATATTCACGGGTTTCATTCAGATTTCGCAAAACTGGCAATTTCGAGTTCGGTATATCGTAAGTTGGAACATTTTTCAAAATCGAAAATGATTCGTGCAAGTGTCTCGGAATGCGCACTGAATCACACAGGGCCGAATTATCGGCGGGTCAGAAAGCGATCGCTGCCGAGGAATTACTTCCGAGGAGTCAAAAAAGAAGAATTGCAGAGGCAAACCAATTTGTATTTGGCATCGATGACTGTGAGTTGGACCGGGTATTTATTTGGAGAACGACATTTCAAATGAGTAAAGGCCAACAAATAAACATTTTCAAACCCCTCGCAGATATGTGCTACGGCCTGAGCTTAAAATTGAATAATATATTAAAAGTTTTGTCCGCTATAAAGGCACAAAAATTATTATAATCCATTTTATTTTGAAAAAAGAAATTTACCAGTTCCTTTCCTGAAAGCAACTTATTACTTACTATACCTACTATACTATATTTAACCTTATCATTACAATTATCTATAAATGTTGGTAGCCATATACTGAGTGTGCGGTTAAGGCTGGCTCAAAGCGCATCTTTACGCGTTCAAATAACAAAGTACTAAACAGTAAACAAAAAGTAAACAAACAGACACCACTCAGTCTCCGCCAAAAGTGGATAAAATCGATCTGATAAATTCGGCAGTACTATTTTTGAATAGCTTTAAGATGGACCACCGGCCACATGAGTCCATTTTCATTTAAAAAACAGTTAAGGGATAGTGTTTAGCATGAGAGTTTTGAAAATTTCGCGGTACTTGACAGCCCGAATAGTAGATGATTCCAGCTGATTCTCATACACTTTACGTAATGCTCTGTAAAGTCTACACTAGTTGCTGTGACTCCAATTCCTTTAATAAATTAAATTAATTATAGATTTTAAAAATTATAGATAATTTAAATTCTTCTCGTTTAGTAGGTAATTTTTCTTTTTAATTTCCATTACGACCTTCTTTTCAAAAAGATTAAAGTTGAGAGGACAAATTCAAATTTAAAACCAAAAATTTTCGCTTACAACAGTTTTGTTATAATGCGCTTTTTTGGGGACAACTTTTTTTGCCAAATGGAACCGGCGGAGGAAGATAGAAGAAGCCCCAAATATAGCAAACTTTGAAAATTTCTAGTTAGACTAATGTTGATATAGGCAATCCTGCTAAATTACTTTTAAGGTGGCTGCACATCTGGATATATGATAACCAGAAGTGGTTGTCAACTTTCTTATTTTAAATGGAACACGCTATATATTATTGCTTTTTCGGGTTCTCCGAAAAATGCTAGACATATTTTATAATATCCTATACCGTTTGCAGACCAAACAAAATCTGTAAAGTTTTCCCATACAGAATGGGACACAACGGGCCCATCTGGTGGTGCTTGGACGCTCCCTTTAATACCAATACCCATACAGAATCTTAGCCTGTACTAATGATCTGTGTAATTTCGATTATTAATAATACACGATGTTGAAAAAATAACAATTAAAATTACATTGAGAAAACTGGCGATTTTTTTTCCATGTCAATCAATATATATAATTTAGTCCTAATTTTTAATTCGAATATTCTAAAATGTTTAATTCTAAATAATATTATACGTTTCCATTTTTTAAAAAAATGTGGCCATCCGGTATTACTAATAACAGAAATTATTGATTAAATTTGTTCCGCAGACGCCAAACGCCAAAACAGTAATAATATATAGGGTTATATAAAATAAAAAAGTTGACACCCACTTTCGGTATATCTGGATGTGCTGTCACCTTGAAAATATTTTAGACAGATTGCTCCTACCAATATTAGTTTAATTCCAAACTTTAAATTTTGGCTACTTATAACAGATCAACAAAGTTCCTAAGTTCCTAGCGAGACACCTTCCACATATGATGCATATAATTTATGAAATAATATCATAAGTATATTTTTTGTATTATATCTTAGTATAATTTGACAATTATCAATAAATAACTAAAACTAAAAAATACCTCTACAAAATTACTGACCCAATTCGTGTTCACTCTGATGCATCAAAAACAATTACTTTGTAATTTTCAGTTTGTTCAATCAGTAATAGCTTTTGTATTTTAGATTGACGAACTATACACCGAAGTACTATATACAATTTTGCATAATGTAGGCTGTGACATAAGTCTGGACTGCGGACAGACTGCGCTATTTTCCTACGCACAAGACGCCTTCAAAATTCAAAATGAAAAACACAGACACCTTCTTGAGGTGGCGGAAAGCAAAGAAGATCCCGAATTGATGATAAACGTCGAAGTAATTGAGGCGAAAGACTTGAGACCTAAGGATTCTAACGGAATGAGTGATCCATTTGTGACTTTATATCTTACTTCAAACACGTCCCATAGATATAATACATCGGTCAAAACAATGACATTGAATCCGGTCTGGGAAGAACATTTTGGGTTGTTAGTATTTATATCATGTATGTTATTTTGTCTTAATTATTGGGCTGGTTTTAGGCCAATTGCGGATAACGCCATCGATGACACTCTTTGCTTAGAGGTGTGGGATTTTGATCCAGCTGAAACAGTAAAAGAGAAATTGGGAAAAATATTCGAAGTAAAGGGCGTAAAAGGTATGAGAAAATTGGTAAAAGAAATTGCGGTCACTGCAACAACGGGTCAGCATGAAAATGAACTTATTGGTAGGGCGAGAATTCCATTAAAGGTTTGTAAAAAAAAATCCATATTTTATAATATATTCGTTAACGAATCAAGAAATTATAAAACTGAAGCAAGTAAATTGTAATAAATGTCAAAAAAAATTTTTTTTGAATGTTGCAGACCATTCCAGCATCCGGTATGACTATGTGGTATAGTATTGATAAAAAGAACAAACTTAGTAAACAGGGGGTTTTGAAAGTCCGCATTTCATTTAGTTCGGGGAAAAACAATCAAGTGGCGGAACAAGAACACAGACATATAAGGAGAATAGTTTTATTACACGAACTAGAAGTGTCTGAGGTAGTTTATACGTTTTTGAAACATGCTGTAATACACGAGACATTTCAGGTAGCTCCATATTGGTGGTGTGGAAGTTTTAGTCCCCAAGCTCAACAGCTCTTAACTCAACATATAGCGCAATCAGGATTATCCCCGATAGAAGTTGATCTCTGCTCTTATTCAGTTTACGCTGGGGTTCACCAGAGCCATCCTCTCAGTTTTAGTTTATTTTCAAAAATATTGGAAAAATTGGTGAAACCTATGCAGACGAGTTCTATGTTGGAAGAGGACGTTAAATTATTTTGGGAAGCCACAAAAAAACTTCTTCCTTCGTGTTTTAACGTTATCAGGAAAATTAGAAAGAAGAGTCCTAGCGAGAAAGCTGTTATGAAACAGGTAATATTTTGTGATGTTCAACGAATGGCATATTAAAAAGATTGACAAAACATTTTTATATTTTTAGGTTGTGGAAGTTTTGAAAATACTTAGTTATATCCGTTCTTTGGAACCCCCGGAGAATTTTGAACTTTTTCCTAGTGCCTTATTCCCTTGGATAACTACTACTGATGGAGGTTTAAACTGTGATATTGTAAAAACTCTCGAAGATGCAGTTACTCAGGGCGTAAATGATTGGATGAATCATATTATAGAAAACAATAAAAAGCCTGACAACAGTGATATTTCAAAGCTACAGAATCTGTTGCAGGTTATACAACTCGTCAGAACAGATCTGCAGAAAGCCATTGAATTTTATGATAAATTATTTTTAGAGTAAGTAAAAGATATTTTGAATAGATATATTAAACGCTGAAAGCAATTTTTAGAATCGTTAAATTCCCATATGCCAAGTGCCTTTATAAATATTATGAGTCAAAGATTTCGAACATGTGTGAATCAGACATAGAAGAAATATGTACTAATTTAAAAAGGGTGGATTTTGGAGAAGTAGATAATGATAATTCACTTGAAGAGGATCCGCTTTCAGAGGGCACGACATTATTTGAGTTGTATTTGGCTATTCAGAGATTTGTAACATTGGGTGATGGTCTGTGTCCTACAGACTGCGACGGATTCCAGATAAAGCAATTTCATCAAGTAAGGCTGTCAAGTTATCAGGGAAGTTAATTTCGACAGGTATAATTTTATTTTCATTTTAGTGGTTTCATAAAGGGGTTGCTCAGTGGCTGGATATTGCTGCCTACAAAGCTCTCCAACGTATAGCGAAAGCCGTCGAGTTAGACCAGTTGATTCAGGTTGATAACACTGTCAAATATAGTTCCTCGGCGGTTGATACTTTGACCATTTTTTATCAGGTTTGTAATTGCCTATTGCCAAATGTACTATTGGAATAATTTAAGTTGTCCAATACCATTTGCTAAAAATTTTAAGAAACATGTTTAATTTTTTTAGTTTTGTAGTTATTAATTGAGTGCTGCATATCTGAAATTTTACAAGGAATATTTTAGGTGAAAGTGTTTTGGCAACAACTAAATTGGCCTGACGTAGAGAGTTCATACTCATTTATAGCGAAAATAATTGATGTAAGTAAAAATGCAGTTAAAATTAAAATCTAATTATAAAATTAAAATTATAATTTACGAATATTTGTTTGATATATGACTTTAACTTTATAGGATATTTGCCGTTGTTGCGTTTTTTATGCCGACAAAATGTCGACAAAAGTTGAGGGAATGGGCGAGACGCAAGATATCTACGAAAAAAAGTTTCATGTTACCAATGAATGGTGTGTCGCAATTAACAACATAGACTATGTCCGGGAAACTTTAGAACCGTTTACTAGTGACTTAGGAATAGCGAACGTGATAAGGAAGATAGGTGACCTAAAAGGTCCGGTAGATGCCGAAAGGTGTCAACACACGTTCGATAACGTAGTGGCAAATGCCATTGATACAGTAAGGAATAAAATCGTTGAACTTATTGAAACTATGGTGATTAAGGTATATAGTTGAAATATAAATTTCTTGTTTTATTTAACGCTGTAATTTGTAGATGGCGCCTTCTATGAAGCGATTATTAGTTGAAGGGGCGGAGTTGTGTAATCAAGATAGCAACAGTGTTGATAGATTAATGATGTACGTCGACAATAATCTAAGTATGCTACACAAGAATTTAAACGAAGAGAATTTTAACAGAACATTAGAAATCGTTTGGGACCATATAAGCGGTACTCTGAATGATATTATCCAATCGAGCATTGAGGTAAGTGTTTTGCTAATTTTTGTATTTCTTTTTCAAATATGTTTGTATGTATCTATCCGAGTGTCTTCGCCATGAAATGATTTTGTGACTTTCTTAGACATTTAACGAGATAAAGAAAATAATAACTCAACTAAAAACCCATTGGGCTATATAAATCATACCATGAAACTCAAAAAAAACAATGATTATGATTTATACAGAATATAAAACAAACTCATTAACCAAGCAAAAAAAGCAATTTTTTGTGGAAAAATGTACAAGAGATGAATGGTACAAAAAAGGAATTGCCGATAAAGCAAATACAAAGCAAGGATGGCACGATAAAAAGAGAGAAAAAGGTTATTGCTAATGTAATGTTAATAAGTACCAGCCAATGAAATAAAAGAATCTCATATCATATCCCAAAAATTTAAAAGAAGGATATAGTTCGACCACTGTATAAATGTCGCGACAATACAATCCCTACAAATTATAAGCCTTGCTCTCAAACTTGGCAAAATTTTTTGAAAAAATATTAAAAAATAGGATTGTTAGCTATCTCGAAAAATTTAAAATCGTACGCCACCCATCAATTTGGGTTCCAGAACTGTAAATCCACCCAAGATGCCATTACTACACCGACCGAAAAAATTTATTCATAAGAAAGAAATCTTAGATCACTCTGTATTTATTTAGATATTAAGAAAGCATCCGATAGCGTAAATCACAAGAAGTTTATTGATGTTTTGGAGGGGAGTAAAATTAATGTCAAGTTATCTCAGTGACCGAACGCAATGTGTCAGCCAAGATGGTGGCTTAGTTGTGAAAGAAAGGTTGAATATGGAGTTCCAACTGTCTTGGGTCCTCTTTGTTTTGTACATTAACGATATGTTTCGTTCGATGCATCATGGGCTGTGCTCAAAAACAACGTCAAAAATGACTCAAAATTGTTGTGTACAATTACTTTTCCTATAAAGAGCTAACTTTAAACTCTTCAAAAACTGTTTTTCTCCCATTCTCCTGTGATTTGCGTGCCTTTCCAGATTTCACAAAACTTCGAATCGAGACTAAACTGAATGAGTTTATCGATATAGTTTCCCCCGATTATGTTAAATACCTCCGTATCGACATGGACAAGTTCTTGACTTGGAAATATAACACTGGTATGATAAACTTGAGATAACAATTGAGATCCCTTGTACCAATATTCAAGAATGCCAGGGAATTTTGCATAGTGCATTGGTTGAACCACACCTCACATCGGTCTCTTGGGGCACCCCGGTTTGACTACTACAGAAAAATTGAAATTACCCAAAAGTGAATTAATAGACCGCTGATGTATCCTACAGAAGAACTCTATCAAATGGCAAAGATCTTAGATGTTAGACATTTTTTTTTTGTTAAAATTACGAATTACTATTACAAACGCAAGCTTACCTATATTCAAGCACAATTATTCGACACGATCTCAAAGGCAAAACCTGCCAGTAACAAAGCGCGAAAAGACTGTAGGTCAGAGATGCTTTTCTTACTAACAAAAATTATTGCCGTGGTACCTGAAGCGATTCAAAATTATAGACCCTACAGTTAATATAAAAAGAAAGTAAAAGAATGGGTTATTCAGCAGCCGAAACTTTATATCTATCAACAAATAGATTTAAAAAATAGTCATTTTATTATTGCAACTCATTAATTTTTTAGTTAAGATCCATATATTTTGTTCTGATTTTTACAAGTCTGTTATACACCACACACTTAAAACTCAAAATTTTTACGTATTTATTTCTTGATTTATGTATGTGTTTCAGCTCACAAACAAATATTGATTTGCTAATATTTTGAGAGCTTTTCCCCTGTTTATTTACTATTTTCGATAAGAAAAAAATCTACTTTACTACGGATTTTGCAGCATCCTGTACAGATGAGAATAATGTTTGATTGCAGAGCGTAATATCTTTCTTATTTATTTTTTTCTAATGCTAATCTAATATACGTAATATGTACTTTACTATTTTTATAGAAAAGACGACCACCTTCATTTTTCGCCAACCTTAGTAAAACATTGGATTTGATGTTAGGTTCGTTCAAAACCCCGGATGTTAACATTAATTGCAGCTCCTTACAACGAACCGAACAAATTTTAAGATTGAATGGAATGGAAACTCCAGATTTAATACACGAAGTGGGTTTCATTTTTTACCTTCTTAATTTTACTGCGTTATTATTCTGTTTTCAGTTTGTTTTGAAATTTAACCTTTTTTTTAGATCAATCTGAAGCTTGCCGAAACATTCGATTCAATGACCGAATCGCCATATGGAGAGATAGCTTTCCGGTGTAAATTCGAAGGTGACGCTATATATATCGAGATCATGAATGCACGCAATTTGATTGCTATGGATTCAAATGGTGAATGCATATATATAATTTTCTGATGTAAATAAAAATAACAATTCCTTGTTTTAATTTTTAGGCACTTGCGATTCATTTGTAAGAATGCATTTTTTACCAGCACACAAATTTGGGAATATTGACAAACCAAAAACGAAATGTCATTACAAAACCCAGTTTCCTCTTTATGACGAAAAATTTACAATGTAAGCCATTAGAATTAATTTATCATTTAAAATTTCTCGACCGTCAATGATATTTCAGTAATTTAACCCCAGAACAAAGAGAACTAGAAGACGGGATGATCTTGCTTAGCGTAAAAGATAAGGACTTATTAGGCTACAATAACCAATACATTGGTGAAGCATTTATTCACTTTAAAGACATTGAGGATACAAATCGCCCTTTAAATTCATTAAATCAAGTTTATAAGTGGCTGGGAAGACCAGTGGATTTAAGTATGAGTATACAATTATTGGTTTTGAATTTCCAAATTTTATGTCCCCTGTTTTTTCAGACCTAGACGGTCTAAAGGCATTGGAAAATAGACAAGGTGATAAACAAGCCAAAGAATTTCTAAGAAAGTACAGACAGAGAATGGGATCCCAGTGATTGCAGTTCAAGGATAATGTTGATTAAAAAGTGTACTTAACCAATAGACTGTTTCATATAAGAATTATTAAATTTAGTAATTTATTTTTATTCTAAAATTTTCATAATAAAATAATTTACCAAAAAAAGAAGAAATTTATTTAATTAACACTTACATATTTCAGCTTAAATTTATCATGTGCTATTGAGGAACAACAAATAAATACAAAAATAATTACAAAATTTTTGTGTATAAAAATACATCTAAAAAACCAAGTATATTCCAGTGAAAGTCAATCAGTCATATTTACAGTCAAAAAATGAATGAAGCAGCTATTTTCAAGCGGGCAAGCAATGAAGTATGAAAAAACAAATTTCACTAGAAAATACCCTTAAAGTTTTTTTTACAAAATGTACATGGTGTAGGCATTTTTAGTGTATGTACAGATTTTTATGAATAAACTTTATGAATTTTGTATTTCAATCAACTGCATTCCTTAAGACAAAGTGTTTCTATCTATTATGAAACTAAAAGTCCATAAGAAATTAAAGACTTTTTATACAATAAAATCTAAAAATGTCAAGTATCTTACATTTTATATTGTAGTCAATATCACAATATAAAATATTGCAAATTTTGCATATAACTTTTAGTAAAATAACGAAAATCTTGTTTCAGCAATAGGTCATCTAACATTTTTATTTTATTTCATACAAAAATAGCACCATATCCAAATTTACCAGAAATATCAAGACCTGGATTAGGAGTTTTGGTTAATATGTGATTGCCCTAAATTTCGTACAAGCATTCCAATAACAACCTTGTAATTCATTTTCAACATATCAGATTTTGCTGGTTTGTGATTGACTTAAAAAATGTATCCTATATTGTGAAACATGTATTGCCACAAATGTTTAATAATTCATTGATAAATAACGTTGTTACACCCCATTTCTGCTTCCATCTCCTTTTATGTGAGAATTACAAACGCGGTAAATGACTGTTCGAGGAAAGAAAACTGAAATATTTCAGAACGCCAGAGTTAGTTGATCGATTGTCTCCTAATTCAGAATTTCTTTGGACTCGCACAACACTCCATGCATTAGTCAAATACTGCAGTAAATTACTGAAATTGCAGATCACTTTGTTATCTAATACTACAAGAAAATGTAAACAGAATGGACTAAATTCAGTTAAGCAAAGCAAAAAGAACATAACAAAACTTGCAATATTCTTTGATATATTTATAATTTACTAACATCCATGGGTACCTTACGTCCTTTAAGTTAAATGTTAACATAAACGTTCCTCTGAAAAAGTAATTAACATATTTCACTTTCAATAAATAAATGTGAGACAGTGATCAACTGATTAATGGTGTTGACAAGAAATTTACCATATTTCTCTAGGATCTCCTGATGCAACAAAAGTACTTTCAGTGGTTTAAAATTAAATGTAATTTGTTTATTAATTGACTAAATGTTTTAGGTATTACGCATAATTACTGTAAATTCTTTTAATTCTATTACCGGAATATGCTAGTAGATATTATGCATAATATCTCATGATTTTATTATTAATGTATAATTCTTTTAATGTGCTCAGTTATGATGCATACGATTTTCTGATATTAATGATAACATATATAAAACAGGAAATTTAAATTTTCTAAAAACTGAAATGAAAAGTTTTACTTTCCTTGGATCAAAATGAACCCATAAGGGGGATCGGAAAATAGCATATCTTTATCACATCACTGTCTAGAGAATATCACAGAATAATAATTACTTTCCAAATTTTTTTATATATGTGTGACTGCCTTCACTGTAGGCATATACAATACAATATCAAAACTGATTTCCGTTGTAACCGCTGTCCCACTATGGGTGGTCAATACATATATATATATATATATATATATATATATATATATATATATATATATATATATATATATATATATATATATATATATATATATATATATATATATATATATATATATATATATATATGTGTTCGAAGTGTTTTCGGAGTGCGAGCATTGAAGATGCCAAGTGAGATTTTGGCGAAACGTCTGCAGGATTCCAGTCGGAGTTCAACGAGCGAACGGATGATATCCCGGAATATAGTGTCATCACATTTTTCCATCCGTGAATCAATATATATATATATATATATATATATATATATATATATATATATATATATATATATATATATATATATATATATATATATATATATATATATATATATATATATATATATATATATATATATATAATTTTCCACTTTATCATTCGATATAGCACGAGACGTATTTTTACACTCTAATTTGGGGATCTTTTAGTAAACAAACCATTACCAAAATATAAACAAACATCATTTTGAGAGCGGGAAATTGGGAGGTATGAGTCAGGAAAGTGCGGGATGTTTGAATCATGACCCAAATCTCCTGCATAATAAGGGAGATTTGGATCATGCATTTATCCAAATAAATTCACTAGTTGTATAGCGATATAACAGTCATTTACCAATTCTTTCTTACTACATTGTAGGCAGAATACTAAAAAGATTGAAAGATCTCGAAAAAACAAGGAGCAAATTAAATTTGCAGTCAGGTGTGTTCTTAAAAATGGAATGAAAATTTGGCGAGTGGCTGACGATTTGGGGTTCAGTTTTTCATCACGACATTACGCCCCTGAAAAGTTGGACAAAGATTTTGACCTCTCTGTCAATGGATTGACAACTGCAGACTATATTGTAGTCAGATTTTTAACGGAAAGTTGATTTAAGAATTTACGTCAAGTTATGCATTTATTACCATAATTTTTATGTTCGTTATGTTAGTTAGTTACTGCAAATGTTTGTCCTTACTTTGTACCATGTTACCATAATTACCTAAAACTAAATATTTCATATGACTGACTACACACCTTAACATCCCACACTACCTACCCAAATGTCCCGCACGCAGGACGTATGCGTCAAATATACACAGTTTCATATTTTCGCAAATAACTTTTTCAAACTAATAGTGTTCTATTTCAAATTATTATAAAGGTACTTAAATACAATTTTACTATGACCGCAATGATTTATTTAAAATAATTGAGAACCTTTAAACATTTATGATAGGTTTGGCTCTTTGATTAATTAAAATGCAACTGAATCTTTTAAGCCGAGTGACTGTAAATATTAACAGATGTATTTTAAAATCATTGTAATCTAAACAATTCTGAATTATTCTCTATCAAGGAAAATTCTTTCTCCAGGGAAACGCTTTGCCGGCCTCCCGCTCGCGCTGCACGATACGATTTGGACAAATACGGCCATCTCAAACTCACGTGGTAAAGTGACGCTTCCCGCACGCTAGATCGGTGTATAATTAGGTATTTTCCAGAAGGGAGTAGAAAAAAAAATTATTCTGTGATAATACGTTTCAGCTACCTTTTGGATGTTATATTTTTAATTAATGTTGCAGCAAGAAACTGAGGCTGAGTACTAACAATAATTTAGTATCAACTTCAATATGTTAATGGGTCAATAGCTTATTAAATACAAAATACTTTTATACAAAAAAAAACAATTAAAAATTGAAGTTGTTCACACTTTTCTAGGAGTGGATTGTGATAGTTTAGAACAACTATCAAAAAATGTATCTTCGTCTGAAACTGAATCTTCATGCTTCGCTATTTTTTCCACCTAATGAAAATTACAATAACATAAAATAGCTAAATATTTATTAAGAAATTAGTATAGAGAAAAGTGTTGGCACTTCAAACGGTATTGCTGACAATGAAGGGCCTAAACAATATCACTGTTTATACTAGGATAGGCCGCTAGACTTATGTATTTTGTTTATATAAAAGAAATTTCAAGATCCTGCTACACTTACACACATCGGATGCAGTATATGTTGAAGGGAGAGGAGACGGTTTCCTTAAAGAAAAAAAGAACTTTTCCAAGGGGTTCATGGATGCCTATTTAAATGATGCATCTAATAAACTCCGATTTGTGGCAAAGTTCTAAAAACCCTCTATTTAGTCCATTTTTCAGAACAATCTGTATTTTGGTTTTACCACAGAAATTTGTCTATATCTTTTTCAGCTTTCTAAATAAAATTTAATTTAATTTTTTAAGTAGTAACAATGTAACAACAGAGTATCGGATATTAAATTTCCACGCAGAAGGCGAGGAGAAACCACTGCATTATTTTCTCAAGAACAACCACTATGAATATCAGACAGGGGTGCGAAAAATCCCCGGGTGGAACACAAATAAGTATTATAAAAAGAATTGCAACCTGGAATGTTAGGACACTATACAAGGTAGGGAAATTAACAACAATAACACGAGAAATGCAAAGATTAAAAATTGGAATCTTAGGATTGGCGAAGGTCCGCTGCCTGGTTTGGGCACCTGTTGCCAGGATGTCGAAGTTTTGTATTATTCAGGTAGAGAAGATGGACAACATACCAATGGCGTAGGAATAATTATACGCAACGAAAACATCAGTTATAAACTTTACTCCGTACAATGAACGCGTGATGATCCTACAATTAAATATTAATTTTGTGCAGATATACGCACCCACATGCGACATGCGAAAGCAGTGAGGAACTTATAGGAAAAATTTTATTCAGACTTGGACCACATGACAAGAAATTTAAAGAAACCTGAACCAATAATAATCACGGGCGACTTTAACACAAAAATATCAAAAAGGAAGTGTGTAACGTGGACAATTTCGGATTGGGCACAAGGAACGAACGGGGAGACAGATTGGTGGAGTAGACGAAAACGGAACCACCAGATTAACTTTATATTAGCCAACAGACGTTTTAGAAACACAATATAAAGTGTAAAAACTTAACCAAATGCAGATGGTAACAGAGATCATAACCTTTTGCTAGCAAAGGTAAAACTCCTGCTGAAAAGGCAGCAAAAAGTACAAAAAACCACACGACCACCGACCACCGACTAAGAGACTAACTGGGAAGATATGAAAACAGCTTTACTATGATCAGGAGAAGAAATGCTCCGGGAACTTTCATTGAATGATAGAGAAACTTTATGACTGATGAAATCCTTGTGCTCATTGAAGAAAGAAGAAAATATAAAAATAGATATAAAGGACAATACAACACCATTAATAAAATAATTAAAGGGGGACTGGATAAAGAAACAATGCACAGAAATTGAAAAATTACAGAAGTAACATTATATATTCCATTTGCACAGCAAAATAAAAGAAATAACTGCTAACATCAACAAAAAAATAACCTGTGGAAGGAGAGACAATCAAAACAATCTACTTTTGGAATAGAATGATATAAAAAATTGTTGGGAAGAGCATGATATAAAAAATTGTTGGGAAGAGTACATCGAGTTATTTATTTCAGGACAATAGAATTCATAGTACAGACAGAACAAACGAAGACAAACAACGCGAAGTGTTTGAGATACTAACCTCTGAAGTCAAACTCGCCCTAAAAAATTGTGAAAAGAAAAAACTCCAAGTCGAGATGAGATACAAATTATACTTCTAAAATCACTGAAAGATGAAAATATAAACAGTCCTACTGAAAATAATCCAAAATAGAATATTCAGAAAATATTTCACCGTTTCGTCTTCAGAAGAGGCATGGGAATCAGACAAGCCTTATTCGCAATGACAGTTCTCCAAAAAAATGGCGAATAGAATAAAATTGTTTATATAATTGTTATTAACTACGAAAAAGCATTTAATACATACGAAACTCATAGATGAACTCAAGAACATTCAACATTCAAACATTCGAACATTCAAAAAATATACTGAAACCAAACAGCCACTATGAAAATAAACGAAACGGAAATAAAAGGAGTGCCTATCCAGCGAGGTGTTGGACAGGGGTGCGACTTTTACCTGCACTGTTCGATTTATATTCACACATTCTCTTTGGGGAAGAGAAGGTGACAAGAAGGAGATGACATAGTTGATAATATACGCGTCGCAGACGATACAGCAATCATGGCTGAATCCTGGAAGACCTACAGTTACTGGTGAACAGAGTTAATATTGATAACATTAAAATGGGACTTACAATAAATACCGTAAAAACTAAATTCATGACTGTTTCGAAAAACCTAGTCAATCAAGGTCAGCTAAGGATACAAAGAAAACCTGTAGAGCGTGTGGAAAAATGTAAAAATCTAGAAACTTACATAACTTCAAATCTAGACCAAGATCACGAAATAATTATCAGAATTGAAATTGCGAGGCAGTGTGTCTTAAGATTTAAAACACTATTCATGGACAAAAACTTAAAATAGGAATAAAGTTTATTGAGTTTATTGGACACTATTGTATGGAGTACACTCGGACTGTTAGAATTACTAATGAGGGAGTTTTAAGAATGGTACGACAAAAAAGGAAATTAATGACTACGACCAAACGAAGAAAAAGAGCTTATATTGGCCATATTCTAAGAAATAATAAGTTCGAACTACTACAGACAAAGGCATAGAAAGGAAGACGAAATCCTGGCTAAGAAACATTAGAGACTGGACTCAGATGAGCGTAGGAAACTGTTTAAAATTGCGAGAAACAAAGACGCATTTAGAAGAATAGTTGCCAACCTCTGTACAATGAACGTTAGGGGATGGAACTGGAAGAAGAAGAAGAACAATGTAACATATTCAGAAAGCTGGCCAAATTGCAATAGAAGCAGTGGTCAAATAAAGTGTATCAGAAGATTTTACAACCAAACTACAATAACTTTGGAAACAATTGATTTTGATTTTTTTTATGGATGTATAAAGTTGGGTTGTAATATTATTAAGATTATCAAATATATTTGAACCTCCAGTGCAAAGAAACCGCAATAAATACTTGTAAACATTGTACACACATTTGCATTTGGAACAATAAATAAATAAAGAAAATATTTTACACATAGATGTATTTGATTCAGTATTTCATATTCCTTACCTCTGATACAGACATATGATTTCTAGAAGTAGAAGGTTCTGAAGCTCCTTGACTGCCGTTTCTCCGAGCTACCACACAATTTGACAAGATTTTTATTTTCTTTGATGAAGAAACGCAATCTGTGGAGGTTGAACTCTTATGTTTGAAATTTTGACGATTCGAAGCCTTAACAGTCTAAAAACATTTTAAAAAAAATAATAAAACAAAATAAAATACCCTATCCAGCTTACATATGTGTGCTGTCTAATTTCTTTAATCCTATTTAATTTTTCGGTAAAACATTCTTCAGATGGTGCCTGATACTCTTCTAAATGGTCATGGTACCTCTCTTTGTTCAATAACTTCAAAGATAAAGTTTCATTTGACAGTGTCCCTTTCTGTACACCACAGATCTCCACATTGCACGTACTAGCAAGCTGCAGGGATGAAATAAAGTATCTGACAACTTCAGCGGGGGATTTACCAACAACTAAATTTGTAAACAACTTTGTCTCATTTAATTCCATAGAATCCATTATATCAGAGCCATATTTATGAATATCGAAGTCTTTCTCCTTTAGCATCTTTAATTTCGGTTCAATAAATGATTTCCACTCAGTAACAGATTGCTTAATTTTTTGTCGCTCATTTTCCACACTCCACAATCCACTGTCATTTTGTAGCACACTGAAATAAAAATCTTAAGTCTACTTAATACTTTGGATATCGGCAACCCCACCTCTTTTCTGTTATGCTACTGTCAGACTGTGTGAGAAGTGAACTTGTACCAAATCCTGAATCGTTAGTGAAGAATGAATTGTCTAAAACCTCATCAGATTTGTCCAGTTCTGGATGATTGTCAGATGTGCCCTTCATTTGTGTGACTGCACTTGGAGATGCGCAAGGAGCTGGGGAAACACATGACCTTGATAAATCTATGGCGCTATCTGGACGGCAATAGTCATGATCGTGGGAGCCCTCGCAATCAGTGTTGTGATCTGGATTCGAAATGTTATCGAAATGATCTTCAATTTCAAAGTCTGGCTCATAATAAGTCCTGACCACATCGCCTAAAAATTTTCCCCTAATATACTATATACCTATACGCAAAATATTAAATCACCGCAATATATAAAATATCTCTTTTATTTCAAATACGATTTTAATTATTCTAATTTCATATTGTATGCCAATCTCACTTATGTCTGAAATTTTTAAAAAGTTAAAAATATTGTCAATAATATATCCCTTAAATTAATGGCTAAACTACATTTTTTCTTTCTTTTAAACTACATTTGGGTAATCCCGTCAACAAATAAATAAGTCATATTTCAGCAAAATCCTTCTCATACTACATTACAATCTCACTTTTACTGTACATGAAAGAACATCGAAATACTAAAAAAGATACCTGGAATACAGAAGAACTCGAAAAACTAATCACAATAACTCAGGACATAATCGACAAGCAACTAAAACCAACAAGAGTAAAGAGAAAGGAATGAATTGCTGAAGAGATATCAGACATGATAGAACAAAGACGTAAGGTTAAAAACCGGGATACAGCAACATATGAAAGGAGAGACAAAGGAATTAAAAACGCCATGAGAAATACAAAAAATGTAAAGTTAACAACAAAAGCATGAGTTAATCAATCTCCACAAAAAGGTCAAAGAGGCGGCAGGTTTATATAAACTTAAACAAGTTGGACGCCTGATTGATACTCGAGGAAACTTAATAATAGAATTACAACAAAGAAAGAACGCTTGGATGAAATATGTAGAGGAAACATTTAGGGATGAATGGCAAAATGAGCCAAGTAACACAGAATGTATAACTGGGCCTTTAATTACAATAGACGAGGTAGGACCTGCTATAAGAGGGAACAAATATGGTAAAGCAACAGGACTTGATAACTTTTACTCAGAATTTTTAAACGAAATAAAATGGCTAACAAAAATATCTAATAGTATCTATAATACTGGAAAAATTCTCTAGAACTGGTTGAAATTGACATTTGTAACATTACAAAAGAAACCAAATGCAAAAAAGTGTGATGATAGAATTACAAGCCTTATGAGCCTTAAGACTTAAGACTTTCTTAAAAATCGTCCACAAGCGAGTATATAAAAAATGCGAAGAACAAATAACACGTACACAATTTGGGTTTTGGGTACACGAGAGGCACTTTTTACTATCCAGGTCTTGTTTCAGAGGTGCAGGGACGTCAATATATGTATGCTTTGTGGACTACCAGAAGGTGTTCGATAGAGTTACATGTGAGTTATATGTGTACTTTCGCTCATGCTGTTTAATGGTTACTCCCAACATATATTGAAACAAGGCTTGGAGGAATATGATGAAGGTATACTAATTAACGGCCAACGTTTGAATAACATCACTCCTTGGAAATAAGACAACATATAGCACAAGTCGAAGCCGCATTTATAAAGATGAGCACGGTCTTTAAAAGCCATGACCTGTCGTTAAAAAGCAAGATCTTCGTACTACAGTGCTATACTTTTTCAGTTCTATTATACGGACGCTCTCGATGGTGGCTATGAAAACGCTGGAAGCGTTCGAGATGTGGTGTTACAGACGCATCCTAAGAATCCCCTGGGTAGACCGACTCAAAAATAATGAAGTCATACGCAAAATAGGAAAGGAATGCGAAGTTATTACAACAATTAAAAAACGTAAATTGGAATACCTAGGCCAGGAGGAATGAACAATGATAAAGCCTCCTCCAATTAATTCTACAAGGAAAAGTGTATGGCTAGAGAGGACCAGAACGAAAACGATCTCCTGGCATCAAAACCAAAAAAGATAGTTTAAAATAACCACGACTGGATTGTTCCACACAGCCGCCAACAAAGTAAGAATAGCCATGCCATTCCCCTGGAAACATTTAACATTTAAAGTTTTAACCCAGCTCAAGGTGGTGTAAACCCATATAGTTATTAGATAATATAATATCTTCAGAACATTTAACGAGATCTAGGCATATGACAAAATACTGCGTGAAATTCCATCATCCAAACTTATTGACGATCTTTCACCGGCCATGTTGGTTGTCAAATGCCGCAAGGTCATTGGTCAAAAACAAAATTATAAATCTCGCGCATGCGTATGTTAAATGGACCATGTCAAAAAAGTTTTTTTAATTGATTCTTAAGTTCTTATATTCTAGACATGGACAGGGCCTCTATTTCTCTATATGTTTAACAAACCTCTTATGCGTTTTTACTCGCGTTTTTGTTTTGAATGATTGAAACCTTCAATTTTTGGTTGACACCTCTTCACACCTCTTTATTATTCTTAAATATTATATTCATTTGAGAAAAAAAAATTGGATTTGTATGTTATTTGCCATACTTCAAATTCGCAATATTTCAAATACCACTACAGCCGAGCCTCTTTTTAGCGCTCCAAAAAAAATTCATTATTTAATGATTGTGAGTGCTAGTAAAGGTAAAGGGGAAAACCCTCAATAATAATTGTTATTGAAATTATTAATTATTTAGAGTAGATAAGATTTTGTTTGGTTTTACTTAGTTTACCTAAAGTAATATTTTATTTTTGGTGTGCTTTTTTTATGTGCGGCCCGAAAAAACAATGATAAATAATTCACCTTCACCAATCTCAGTTCGATAGTTCATGGAAAAGAAGCTTTCCCATTTTAGTTCATTGACTGGCTTGATAAGGCTTTTTTTCAAGTTGATGATCTGCTTTGCAGTAAGTTTCCTCCTTTTCACTAAAAGTTTATCTTTATGAAGAAGTTCCTGAAAAATAAAATGTATTAAAAATACAAATATAAAACCTCATAATAATCTACCCTTTTCCTTTGTTCATTTTGTACTTTCGAGTCCATAACAGTTTTCAGTTTAATATTTTTCCCCAATGTTTTTGAGGTTCTTGTAATGGGTACAATATTGTTATTTTGGTGATCTTTATTGTAAATGATCATAATCATGTCCTTTGTTTGTTTAATATAATCATGTCCCACATGAGTCACATTTTTATTTGTATCATCTAAACGTTTTGAGTAATTGACATTCACAAAATCTTGATTATCAATATTTTCTACAGTCGACAAAGTTGCTTGATGATATTCCTGAATCACATTGCTATTCTGCATTATGCAATTACTTGAAGCGTTTAAATTGTCCGTGAAACTGTTAATTGAGGATTGCTTATCCTGTACTACATTAATATCTAAACTAGTTTCATTTTTAGTATCGGGAGCAGATTTATTTTCTGACAAATCTTTATTTGCTTCTTGCCTTTCTACATCATCAGTATTATTCATATCATCATCATCATCATTTTCAAAACCTCCATCAAAGTAACCTGAATCTGATCTTAACTTATCAGCTGGTGTACTTTCGGTTAAGTCAACAGTGATATTTGCCAATTCTTGAGGAATGCCCAACTCACATTCTTCTGCGTTGAGATCTGCAAAAGAAAGATCTTGAAACAATTTTCCCAATACAAGACTTTCAAAAGTAACCGAAGTTGAAATTTCTTGGGAATTTTCATTTGATTTACTTCTTACAAACAGAGCCTCTTTTTCTTTGCGTTCAAGTTCTCGGTAAAACTTATGCAAGTCTCGTAAATCCTCTTGAGGCATGTTTTGAATTTTTTTGCGTTCATGTTCAAAGAAACTTTTAACAAACTTCTGGTACCCAACTTTATAAGTTTCATATAATGCATCTCCATGGATGTGTTTCTCATTCAAGTACTTTTGATTGCCCATATAGGCCATTCTCAATTTAGCAATAGTGTTATTAGTATCAGGCAAAAGGCATCTATCATTATATTCAAATAAATGCCGAATGGGATGATATGATGGAAGTCTGCTTTGCTTAGTATTGAATTCTTCAGGATCATCACCATCATAAATAATGTCATTTTCGCCAGGAACAAGGTAATTTTTCAAGCGATATGGCTGCATAGAGTGCTCCATCAACACCTTTGAAATTTTCTTTTCCTTTGAAAATGACAACTGACTCCAACTGTCCATAAGTTCTGTATCTAATTCAAATGGTTTTTGGACATCATATTGTTCCTCATCATCAGCCCTTAAAATCATGTTTTGCTCATCATACATTTCCCCTATTGTTTTGTTTTCTTTGGATTGTACCAACTTAATTTTTTTATGTCTGCCTCGATTAATCCGTTCCTCTAGTTTTTCTAGTTCCAATTGACTAGATTCATTTCTAAAAACAAAATAAATGCAGCAAGAAATAAAACCAAGAAAGAAGGCAAGTAAATATATCATATTGAACATAAGGAATCACCTTTTGGCGGTTTTTTTATTACGATTTTGATCATACTGTAGAAGTCTTGTATGTAGTTGCAGCAAATCGTTCCAAAGCTTATCGACCCTTTTGCCATAATACAATGCGCAGTGTTGTAACAATAATGCATCCTCAGCAAAATTCGTTTTAAAAATACCGTTTTCTAAATACATATTTTGTCTTTTATTTAGCTCAGAAAACTTTTCCAAAACCTAAAATAAAAGCAAATTAAGAGTGTTTCAACTGTTATGTACATCAAAATATAACCTGCGATAAAGTATTGTCAATTTCTGGTTTCTTGGATTTTTGTTCCAGGATCTTAATAAGCTGCCCTTTAGGGCTCCTGTAGTCAAAATGTTCCTCTTCTTCCATTTTCTTCTCGCTCACATTAGGATAATCATAAACAATAATGTGATTGGATAATTCCCAGCTAACCATTAGATTTATGTCGCAATTATTTTATATTATTAAGTATTTTTGCATTTCCATAATATCAAAACGAGAAAATAATCGGCTTGGCTTTCTCGAGTTCTCATATTGTTTTCACAGTATTTTTAGTTCACGTCAGTTAGGGATATCTCTAAAAAATCAGCGTCTCAGAGAATGACAGAAGAACTGTTGAGGTTTCACAACCTTCTTGGTCGACGTTGCCACATGCGCAATTTGATATGATGCGAAAGCTTGGGGTTCACAATCGCATTTGCAGCTTTATGAGGAAAACTTTTCAAAACAAAAAATTTTAAAATTTAAATTTTTGGATTATATTAATTTCAAAACATTTAACTCCGCCCATTATTTCAGCATATCCAAATAAACGCAACCGTCTCACAAAGCTTGTTTCTGTCTCGTTTGCTCTTTTGCCGTCTTTGACTAGTTTATTTTAGTTCGATTGGAGGTTGCAGAAGTTATACGTTTTGTGGAATTTGGTGAATGTGATTTTTTGCCATCAAGTATCTCCCGAAAATGAGTTGCTATTCGTTTATTAAATATTTGTTTATATTTCTCAACGTCATATTTTTGGTAAGTTTGTATAGATTACTGAAATTGTTTATTTTTATCATTTAAGAAATCCATAAAAATAACTCATATGTTCATAAATTTGATTTTTAATTAACATTTATGTCTTATTAACAGTTTTAAGTGCTACAGGAGTGCTACAATAGTAAAAAGATTCCAACCCATACATTTTTTACCATTTTTTTCTTTAAAACTATAAATTTGGAGGTTACCTAATAGGGTATAAAATATTGATCTTAAATTTGCAATAACAGTTATTGATAGGTCACAGAGAATAAAATCGTTGGAACAAGTAAATAAAAATGCAAATTATATATCGATGAGGAATCTTGTTATTGTTAATCGTTTCCTAAACGCCCACAATTTGTTCTATGAAGCGTTAACACTGCGGTAATAAGTATATAAATCTTTTAATCATCATGATCATTTAAAATTGAGAACGAAAAGTATGGTATTATTTAAATCATTATTTAAAAGTATGGTATTATTTAAATATAAATATGATATTATTGAAATGTACTTTAACGTTTTTTATTTGGTTTAATTTAATTTAGGCTACTTATTTACTTTATTGTCTATATTTGAATTTTGACATACAGACTTGACGTAAAACCTCATTTATCATTCAAATCTAATTTTAAGAATTAACTCCTTAATAAATCATAGCTCAACTGATACTTAGCAATGTATAAGATATATTTGTTTATTAGAATTATAATAAATTGTTAAAATGTAATGTATATTTTATAAATAAAAATAGTTTCTATTCTATTCTATATTTACAGATTATTGGACTAACTGGTATAGGAGTGATAACATGGATGCTGGTGGATCCAACAATTCCTTTGCATTTCACTCAAGATCCAAGTGACTTCATGATTGCAGTAGCTGTGTATATGGTTGTGGCTATTGTTCTTGTCATTATCTCGATACTTGGAATACAGAGTGTGCTGAAAGAAATTCGTTGGGCGCTTGTTTTGGTAATCATAAACTATTGTTATCAATTTTGTGGTCTTATAATTTTTTTCCTTAGTCATTTTCTCTCCTGCTGATCATTGTAGTCGTGGAAGTGGCCTCAGGTGTTTGGATCTACATGAATCAAGAGGATTTAGATAAATTTACAAGAGCTTCAGTTAAAAATTCAGTGAAAGAATATTCTGAGAAAGATGAAAATGTTCAAAATATGTTTGATGCCATTCAGTCAAAGGTATGTTTTACATTAGGTTACCGAAAATAATAGAGTAGCTAATTTTTATTGTTCAATTAAACTTTTAGTTCAAATGTTGTGGTGCGGATGGTCCAGCAGATTGGGCTCGCATCAAAGAGATTAATATGGGTATAACAGCAAATCCAACCCAATATAATATACCAAGTAGCTGCTGTCGGCCTGAAAAAACTGAACAAGAATGTTTCTCAGCTAGCAAAAATTTTAAATTTGGAAAAGAACTAGATTATAAAATAATTTTTGAAAAAGGTTGTTATAATTTGATTAAGGAAAATATTATCAACAGCTTGAGTATTATTATCGCAGTATTTGGGACCATATTGGCTATAAAGTTACTGGGTTTAATTATAGGCTTGATTTTGGCATTCTCTATGAAACGTTCCAATCGTTATAAAGCCTAAATACTCCATCCATCAAATCACCAGATTATCTTCAGACTTATAAGAAAGCTTAGGTGTTTGACCCTCATAGTCAAAGTAGGTAATGTTGTATTTGGGGCTCTACACTGAAATTTAACTTAAAATATATGTACAATTACCCAACTAAAAGAATTTTTGGCTGGTTATGCTCTCTATGTTGTTATTAATTTTTCAATTTTTTTTTAATTAGATTTATTTACATTATTCAATTTTCATTAGTAATTAAGATATTAAAATAAAACTAATCAAAACTAAATTTGCACAGACCTTGAAATATTAAGTTGATTGAACTAAGGTGGCTTTTACTTGATGAAAATTCATTTATCAAAATAAATAAGAACTAAAATTTCAGATTTCCAGGAAATTATATATTTTTGCATGATAATTGTTTCGACAGCACCATGTCTTTATCAAATGTGATTTGATAAATTTGATAGACACGGTGTTGTCGAAACAATTGTCATGTAAAAATATATAATCGTGAAAATCTGAACTTTTAGTTCTCATTTATTTTGATTTTTATTAATTTGATATAATGGAAGAAATAATTTTAAAATGATCTGATGAAAATTGAATAATTGCTTTTCAGGTTCTTAATTTATTTCGTGTGCCATATAAACTGTATATAAATCAAATTAGAATGTAAGTCAGATCTGAAGTATTTTCTGAAATATCTGCGCAAAGAGAGAATTTGTTACCCAAACAGAAATGTATGGCTGTGGCCGGACAAAATATTTAAAAAAAAAACTATTTAATGATTTGGGAGGAGCAACCAAAACAGAGTTATCACTATTTTTTAATTATTTGTTCAACTTTTCGCTTTATGTAGCTAACATACCAGTACAGGATGAAAGATCAATTGGTTGCTACTGCCTATATCACTTTGACTGACTTTATGCAAGACTAATTCAATATGCCAAATAATTAAACCATTATATTTGCCACAAAATTTTATATCTCTTTACATGCCTTTTTAAGATCTGAATATAGAGGGAAGATCTACTTTCTTGATATAACTTATAATACCATTTCGAATAAAGGATCCAAGGTATTAATTTGTGTTGTGATACTAACTACTTGATCACACAATTAAATATTTTCCAATCTCAAAACAAAATGGATATCCTATTGTGTTCTTTTCAAACTTAAGGTACCTTCAAGCACAGTACATGAACAAGCATGATTTATTTATATGGTGGCTATACTCTTGACACACATTAAACTATTATTACACACATGCACTTTCAAGCTATCGCTATTATAATATGCATACAAAAATATGTTTTACTTAGTTGTTGGTTTCACTCAATTTTGCTCAGTAGATTTTTCTTGTGTGTGTTGTCTATAAACAACTGGTAATATTATGAAGTCATCTTTTTGTATATTCATTATTTTATACCACTACTTTACAGTTATTAAATCTTGAAACTTAAAAATTGGGTGAAAAGATCGCCTCCTTTTTCCATTAAAATGTAAAATCTGACCGAAAATACATATTCATTTTTAAAAAGCCCTAGTTCTTTTATGCATGAAATGGTTTCTTAATATTTAATTATGTATATTTAATTATTTGAAATGTAACTATAAAAACAGTCATATTCGAATGTATGCGTCATTACTTATAGGAGTTTACTATAAATCAGAAATTATCATCATAATTAGCAATCGAGGATATCTGTTTCAAATATAGCGTATATTAATATATTTTATGAGAGATGTTTAAAGCTAAGGAATTAATGTGTACTCGAATATGGTTGTGAATATTTGTTTTTAATTTTATGTAATTAATATTGCGCCCCTAAAAATCGGTGCCCATTTGTCTTTTAAGCTGGTTTATGGGATTAAAAGATCTGTGACCTACAATGCTTTAATGTTGACCTAATAAACTGATATATAATAAATAAATTTGAATTGTCTTTTTTAAAATTTAGATATGCACTCTTCCTTGGTATTTCTTTCTTTGTTACATTGGCAATATTGATTCGGGCACCAGCACCTGCTGCTACAGTGACTAAATGAAATACATTACTTGTAGAAGACCTGTCTCAGAGTGCTACCTTTTTAAGGAGCGTTTGACAACCCTTCCTTCAGCTTGTTAAGGTAAAGGGGCGTAGATGTAACTCTCTCAGATGGATCCAGCTGGCACCTCCATAAAACGAGGGTAAAGGATGATAGCACTTGTAGACTGCTTAAAAGAGAAACATTCGTTGAGCCTGAGTTACAATCCAAACTTATTCCTATTAAAGAGATGCACTTCCTTGACAGCACAAACCTCTTCTAAGAGAAGGAACGAGAAGTACGGGCATAATACAGTACTATAGTGTCCAAAAATAGGGCCGCACTGCTGATGGAATAGGAATTGACCAACTCAACGACATTAAACGGTACAAAAATAAGAAGTACTATTCGTGAGAATTTACGGCCTGCTTTGCTGCTTAATAAAATTTACCAGCCTCTGAATATTACCTTAAAAAAAAATAAAGCTTGACAATTTGCGATCAAATCAAAGTCTAAAAATAGAAGAGGATAAATATTTTAAGGTTAAGTTATAATTAAATTACAAAGTGGTGTGAACGGTATAACCACTATTCTATTTGTTATAATGAAAAACATATTGTTCCTAAATATATTTTCCAAAAAATGTTTATTAGTTATTAGATACTCTGACCGTGAACTAGTTTTATAAACAAATATGGAGAAAAAGGTTAACAATATATATGTATATAGATATATTTTTTTTTCAATTTTGATTTTGATTGTAGGAAGATATAAATGCCAATAATCAATTACTAAAGGACAATGTTACGCATCAAAAGCAGCCTTTATTCCCGGTATAGATTGTTAATTTAATTTTAAAATTATTATTTAACTTTTACGGAATACATTTTCTGAAGTTTATTTTTTAAGAGGGAAATGGAAAGCGAACTAACAAGTTTTCGGGAGAAGTGGCAAAAGGAGTTGCAGTCGTCTCCAATCAATTCAAAATTGAAAGTGCAAAAAATTGGTGATAGTAGGAAACAGCAAAGTCTAGATGAGAATGCCAAATATTTGTTTCTCAAGGGAATCGAAATGGAAAAAGCGGGGAAGTTATATGAGGCCATTCAATTTTACCGAAAAGCAATTCAGATTGTCCCTGATATTGAATTTAAATTAGACTATAGGCCTAAACCAAAGGTTCAAAACAGCAAAATTGAATTTGCCAATGGTTGGTAGAAAGTTTGTAAAGAAGCCATAGAGCTGTGTTTTAGGATTCAAAATTTTTTTATTTTAGAACTGGAGACCAGTTCTCAAACAGATAAAGATTCCGATAGTGACATTGCCGAAGACGAAATTTTGCCAACTATCCACAAAAAAGTGGCCAAAACTGGCCTGTTATGCACTTTCAAATTTGGGCAGGCAGTAAGCGGATAGCTTACCAGTTTAAAAAAGAAGTTATTTTTGTTTTCATTATTAGGGAACTCATATGTCAGCACTACCTATGGAAATTATTTTATATATACTTCGCTGGATTGTAACCAGTGATCTGGATTTGAGATCATTGGAAATGTTCGGGATGGTCTGTAGAGGTTTTTATGTATGTTCCCGAGATTCGGAACTTTGGCGACTATGTTGCCTAAGGTGATGTCAGTTAATGTTTTATAAATGTTATTCAATTACATTTTCTTGTAGGGTCTGGGCTTTAAACTGTGGTTCCACACCAGGGAATTACGGCACATGGCGAAATATGTTTATAGAAAGGTCAAGAGTTCAGTACAATGGTTGTTATATAAGCAAAACTACTTATATTAGGTCAGGAGAAAATAATTTTCAAGATCAATTTTCCAGGCCTTGGCATTTGGTGGCCTATTATCGTTATTTGAGGTATACTATATTTCTTAATGCGAGAGAGTAATAAAATGTAATTTTGCAATCACAGGGACCATTAAATAGGGCAGACAACTTAAAGGTTATATGGTAAAGTTCAGATGAATTGCAATGATAGGTTTCCGTATTTCATTTTTTAACGCCTACACACTTGCAATTGTTCCTAAATCAAGATCACACTAATTTACATGGAATAGAAAGAGGATTTTCGAGAATGAAAGTAATGTGACAGCTGGCCTTACTATACCGACAGTTTAATGCAATAATAAATAACTAACCAAACATATACATGATTATAATTATGGAGATGGGCACGTAAATAAGATATTAATTATTCTAGGAACAAGTAAATAAAAATTTATATAGAAGTTAGAATAATATTGTCAAAATTAGTAGGTCAAGTCCCCTTAAAGCATTTATTGGGAAATAGGAAAATTTTCATAAATATGATTTAAAAAAATGAACTACTTAAAATACACTACTCGTTGGGGTTCATAAAAATAATAAGGGGCCCTACAATTTTTTATAGCTTCCCACATTCTTCTATTTCAATCACATGTTCGACGCATGTTCATATTCCTTCTTCCAAGAGGATTTAAATGTCCCTCATTCTAAAAGTGATGTTACGCCTTGCTACAAAGCCTTGTACTTGCGCTGATACCAATTTTAGGGGTTAATTGCCATTGATATTGCGGAAGGTACATTGAAGCGATTTTATCAACATAGGTTTATTAAAATTTACGATCCTCAGGTGCTCTTTATTCAGCATGTCTTTCTAAAACTGCTTATTTAAAGTAAGCTAATGAATGATGCCATCTTTCTTCCAAGAGGACATACCCATGTTATGTTATTATCCAATATTAAACCAATTAATATCGTATCTTTTGCTGAGGTTGCGTTTATTCCATGAAAGCTTTTCTCGCGTTTTTTAAATTTCCATCATCATGTTTTTCCAACGGTATATCCTTTACTCAAGTATTGTCCAGATAATAGATATTCCTGTTTTCTCTTGGAAACTGTCTTAACTGTGATAACTGTGAAGTGATTTTTTATTTTTTTGTAACAAAAATTCGTTTCCTACCATGTTTTCAACTATTTTTTTTTTAACATCGTAGAACAAAATCCTCATTTAGTAGTTTCTTTTCTGTACGTCTTTTGGTCATCTGATGGGGCACCGTTTATCTTCATGCACAAGTCACTATGTTGTTAAATGTTCAACTCCAGTCATATTCGAACATATTTCAACTAATTTTGTAACTTCAAATATTGAGTTTTGATGGCGAGAAGCTTTGAACACATTAAGAATAATAATTGTCTCATTTTTAGAGAGTGCAGTTTTACTAATCCGGTTCTCAGCAACAAATTCAAAAACAATAGCCATTTTCAAGAATGAACTCTGACAGCATCTGCCGATAAGTAGCTATAATTCCAACTTTAAACATTAAGGCCTAGAGAAGTTGACTACTTGTCGATAACCACTCTCCAGATCCTTGACAATCATTATAGATACAATACATTTATATAATACGGCCAAGACCACTAAATTTTACAGTTCAATGATTAATAACTCATGCGAAACAAGCAGCACCAAACATTTGATATTTCCCAAATATAAAATAACCAAACAATTTTAGGTTTTTCCCAGACGGCAAAGTACTCATGTTAACATCTCCGGATGAACCAGTACAATGCATTGGTCAGATGAAGAGTCGGAATCCAAAGCAGCCTGTAATGATAGGTTACTATAGAATGATAGATGACAAAGTTACTCTAGTAGTGCAAAGGCAAGAGACCGACGCAAAATCAGTTCCAGGCGGCTTTAAAAGAAATAAACGGAGAGATGTGCCGGACTCCCCTGAACAAACTTTTCATATGGTAAAGCTATTTTGTTTCTATAAATTCGTTTGTTTTTTTACTAATAGCTTAATATAAAAGAAAAAAAACAGACATTTTGATATGTTTTTATTATAAGGAACTCCAAGTCATGAATTATCGAAAACGGCGTCATGTGAAGCTTGTATGGAACTACTATTCAGTATTCACCAAAACAAAGCGAGGTGACGAATCAACATGCAATTTCGAATTGATTGGAAATCGTTTTCCACCTTTTTTGTTCTCCAGAGTCAAAAGTTTTACAGCAGAGTCTGAGCAGATTTTAATGTAAAACAGTGTTTATTTTTGTATTTGTATTAAAAAGTCTAATAAAATAAGTTAACCTTATTTTTGCGCATAACTTTTATTAACCCAATTGTGGTTTTAATTAGGTATACAAACTTTAAATTTACCAGGGAGATTCGCAAATTTTTTGCTCTGCTTGTCTCCTTAAGAATTTTAAACCCGCATCAACCGACTCTTCAATATTTGCTGATTCATTTGTAGATTCATCCACAATTGTAGGGTCTTTTGTGGAGGAATGACCACGGCTAAATTCAGATTCCTCATCTGGAATGATCACAGTTTTATAAGGATTAATGCTTGGCGAATTTATTTTCTTCTTTTTCGATGTAAACTTTAAAACCATGTTCTCCTCAGTTGATATGTCTGTAACTTTGGAACTATGAAAATCACGTTTCTTTTGATAAACCGAAGGCGGAGCAAACTCTGCAATTCTTTCTCCGCGTTTCTTTTCATTCCACTCTGTTTGACTCATTTCATAATGCTCCTTTGCACCTTCTTTACCGATATCCCATGGGCGAACATGTTTTCGCCTAGCCTGTTCCCGTAGTTTTTCTGCTTCTTCGAATTTCTTTTTCTCCTCTTCATTATTTTCTATATTTTCTAACTCCTTATCATCTGATTTTGAGACAGGTTCTAAAATAAGACAGCATTCATAAGACTATAGACATTTTAGCTAAAAAGTAAACACCATCTTCTTCAGGTGGAAGACCCATTCTAGCTCTTTTTCTATTCCTGGCCGCTTTCATTCTTGCAGCGAGCTGTTTCTCTCTCAAAGCCTTTTGATACTGTGCCCTATTCTGTTGCCGTTCTGTTTCTTTCCTTAGACTTTTTAATGCTTCCAACTGCCTTTCTCTCTTCTCTTCATCTTTTGAGAAGGCATAGTAGCCAACACCATGTGTTCTTGCCTCTAAAAATCTAAAAATTTGGCAATTGCTTAATCTACAAATTCTATAGTACCATTGAAAAGAACATTTTGATAGTGCACATTTGTTCTATTCATCAGTTCATCTTCCTCTTTTTCCCACTGCCGCCTAAGCATGTCCCTTCTCATGTCTCCTGATATTAATTCAGATTCCTTTGGTTCCATATTATTTCCAAGATCTGTATCAAGGGAGACATCCACAACATTTTCAATTTCTTTCTCTACTGGTCTTGACTGCTTCCTTTCTTCAGCTATCACTTTTAGTTCAGCATCTTTTGACTTCAAATATTCCAAATCCTTCCTCAAACATTTTCTAGATCGACCTAAACAATCCACATACTCTACCCTTAAAAATAAACTTTACTCTTTAATTTTACTGATGAAAAAAATATCACCATTCTTCAGATGGATCAGATGGAGATTCATATTCATCAGAAAAATGGGTTTCATCATCACTACTGTGAACTGAAACTTGGTCTCTTTTAACTGGATTCTTTTTATCAAATCTTACTAAATATCTGTTTCCAAGATCATTACTTTGGTTTGAATCATTGGTAAGTTTTTCATACAAAGTTGCTTTAGCTTCTAAACGAGCACTAAAAACTATGACTAATATTTACAAATTTACAAAATTTGCCTCCATACCTTGACAATTTCAACAAATCTAAATCCTCCTCTGATAAGTCACGAGAACCTCTTTCTTCAACTCCTTTATTTTTAAACTCCAGAGGATTGTTCTTTTTAATAACTTTGATTTTCTGATCGTTTTCGACTTTTGCCTTGGTCAATTCTTCCTGCTTTCTCAAAATTTCTGCTTTTAAGCTCAACAGCTAATAAAACACTTTGTTAGAATGTCACTGAGGTACCTAAAATTTTACTTACCGACGACTTACTTATTTCATACGTGCTCATTGTAAAATATAAAAAAAACTATCTGACAAATATTCTGATAAAAATTATAGTAATCATGCTGTTTACATTTAAAAGATGTGGCTATAGATACCGAAATTGTTAGTTGACACAACCTTAGTTCTTCATACAATTTTTCAGTCAAGGGGCAGTTTTATATAATCCACTTTTCCATTTCGTATAATTTCTTGGTTAAATGTAATAAATAAAGTAATTTGGCTACGCTGTGCAGCTGGATGACATTTGGGGACCACAGTTAAAATGTAACATTTTACTTATTATATAAACTGCAGGATTACCAAAATAATTATCGGAGCACCAAAACAAAAATAATTTAAGCAGGATTGTCATCAATGATAATCGTTTTATCATTTCACAGAATAGTATAGTAAGTTATCATATGAACCTGCAGAGATCAATTAGAACCTGTTTTTTAATAAGAAAAAACCATCGCCCAAACGAGTTTAATGCGTTATTTGTACAGAAAGGTTAAATAGTTTAGGGTTATAAAGCTGATTTTCCTGCTGCTGTATTTCCTTTTTTATCTCTCAAACTAATACCATAAATGAGACAGCCAACCACAATTATAATCCTCTGTTTAGAAAACGGAAATCGCCATAGAACAAGAGAGCACTTTAATAAATGACGCCTCAAAATCGATTCCTTCCTTGTAATTAACAACAAGGTAATCAAGACATCAGTTGAAAAGGAGGTTTTGTTGAAATTCTGACCGTAGAACGGCACCACATTCAAATTTTTTATTAAGGAATTGGAAATTCATATGTCTACTTTCACACTATTTTAGGGATTTTTTGTTCTACAAACCTTAGGGTTTGTCGTTGGTAACCGTGTGTCGCTGAGTTTTTCGATCGGAAATGTTTTCTAATTATTTGAGAAAATTTAAAGTCATTTAAAGTGAACGACTATTTAAAATCTATTTATTAAGTGAAAAGCAGTGAACAGATCCTTCCTAATAATTTTCCTTTTATTCTGGCACAATTTTCTTTCATGTTTTCGAACTTTTAATTTGCCCACGTTCTCCAACCAATAGGTTGGATCGATGTTTGGCTTGTCGATTGCCACACAGTTGCTTCAGGGCTCAACCCAACGGACTTGGAATTATCTAACGACTTTTGGTTATTTAGTTTGGAGCAAATTTGTTCATCTGAAAAGAAATACCGTAAGTAGTTTTTGTGCTCGCCGAAAGTTAAACGTGATGTGAAAATACGTATTCTCGTGGTTGTGGAAATTATGGCGCCATAAACAAAGAACATGGCGTCGCAAGCTATTGCTAAATTAATTTACAATTTTCTTTAAGTTTTACAATACGTGGATTGTAAGAGTAAATTTAGCTTTATAAACAGCGCAAATTGAGTATCGTCTTAAATATTTTATGGCTACGGCAGTAATTTTTGTTTTAATGTCTTCACCGTTAAAAGGCAACGTTAAATTTGGCGTTTCTCTAAAAGTGTTGGAAGATGGCTAAGAATTATTTTTCAGATGCCCCGATCCCGAAAAAGGCACCATTCTCATTCAAAATCGAGGTCTCGTTCTCACTCAAGAGATCGTAGCTCTGAAAGGCACAAAAGAATTGATTCCCATGAAAAAGATGGGAAAAGGAGAAAAATTGACTCCTTGGATAGTCCACATAAGCGATCATTAAGGTGAGCTATTTATTTATATTCTTTGAAAATTCTGAGGTAGGTAACAAAACATTTTTTAATTTAAATTATGACATTTGCAAAGCAGACTAGGGCATTACTCGAAGCAACATGGTTATGTGAAAAATCTGATTGAGATTATTAAGGTAATATTGAGTGATGGTCCTAGTTTAGAGAGACTGGGTGTATTCCACTGATGTTTGCACTTCAGCAATCAAAATTGCTAGTTGGTCTTAGTATTTTTTTGTAAACTTATAGATGAAAAATCTGAATTTGTAACTAAGACTAAAACTAAAGACATGATTTAATTAAGAATGACTTGATAAGGAATTCAAAATTTGATTTGATTTTTTTGAAAAACTCCCAACCACTTCAACCACAGAAACAATGAAAACCCATAACCCAAAGTGCAAAGAACAGGAAAAAACTGGTCATCATCGATCAACTTTTCCCTTTCCCAAGCATCACCTGATGAAACCTGAAACAAAGTGTTATAAATACTCCATCAGAAGTATTATTATTTTACTTGAGCAAGTGCTTTAGTCCATAAACGCAGTACAGCATCAGATGTTAAGGGATCGATGGGATCATAATACTGCTTACAATCTGACCAAACCATCTTTATTGCATTAAATTGGCAATGCGAATTTTTACATTCTTAAAAGATTTTATTTTGAAATAATTTCATATTCAAAGAAAAATACTTAGGAACTATATATGCAGTTTTTCTGGGAAGTATTGCAGCCACTCGACTAGAGAATGCTTGATTCAACTTTGATTAGGTACTGACTTAGCAAGTTCACAGTGATACTAAGATTGCCAACTCTTGAACCACCTCTTTCCCTAAGCATATTAGTATAAGAGTTTCCTGGTACAGAACTAAAACTTTTGTCTTTGTTCATAGGTTGGAAAAACTACATTTCTCATAAAAAAGAAATATAAATCACCTTTCAAAAATTTCAGCGTTCATTGAATCATGGTAGTCCCCCGATTTGTATCCGATTTAAAGATAAATCTGGCATACTCCACAAAGCCGTTTTTAGAGTCAGCATGTAAAATTATATAGAGAATTCCTTCACCATACTTTTTCCGAACTGTTTGAACAGAATTGTCTTGCCAGATTTTTCTAGACGCTCCTTTACTAAAATGAAATGAATCGATTTCGTGTAATTTTTTACGTAGCGATTTTACTGTGACATATTCTCCTACAAGAGAGGAAAAGTAATTATTATTATTATTATTATTAAAAACCACTAAAAGTTTTATAGATTTTCGACTTTACGCACAAAGAATCAGTGCCACAAAATATATTATTCATTTGGAACAAGGCAAACTCTCAAATTATTTTCAGTCCGTATGTTATGCTCCTGTACTATATAGAGGGGTGTTCCGTTTGCTGCTCTATATAACTGGTCTGAACTTTAACTTTATGTTCATGATCGGTTTTGGTGCCTCCAGAAACTAGCGTATGCACTGATCTAATAATACCTACCTAATTAATAATTTTCAAAAACTTAAATTGCTTGTTCATTAAAATGTGTGACGACAGTAAATGCTTACATTGTGTATAGTTTAAGGGTAAAGGCGCTTTCTCGCATTTTTTTTTTAGTGAAATAATCAACAAGTTCTAAAATGAGGTCTTGTTTTCACCAAATCGTTGGGCCATTTTGAAACGATTTAATTATCCGTTAAATTTAAAAATTTTGATCTTGACGCCGCTATTGACACGGATTTCGGATAAACAAAATTTCTGAGTCAATTTACTACACCCAGTAATGAATTAGAAAGATGTCATGCTATGACGTAGCTGCACAATTGCTCTCTGGCATAAGTCGTTGGAAACCGGCAGTTCAATATAATCGAAGGTTTAAAAATCTTTCTAGAATGCTGATAAAAGCACAGTTTGCGTATGCCCCTAAAATCGAAATATAAACTTGCACTTTGTAAAATTTTCTTTCCTAACAGCGAATTTACTCGTTCCTTTCTGAAAATCCGATCGGATCCTTCTATTTTTTAACAAAATACTGCTTACCACATCCAAACTAAAAACTTTCAAAATTGAGGAAATGTCATCGGCCATGTTGATTGTTGAATGCCACAAGGCGAGATTTGAACTTACTTGCGCAAGCGCATTTTGAATATCCTATCTCAGAATTTTAGATGTTTAGATATATCTAGTAACTATATGGACGATAGACTCGGGTACTGACGAGATCTAGCGTGTTTATCGTTCAACGATGTGGTTCTCCCAGCAAATTATAAATCACTAAAAATATGTTCGTGCAATTATGCTGCTTTATTCGCGATCGGCCAAACGTAAAGTTTAATCTTTTATGCAGAAATAAACCGCAATATGTTCCAATTTTCTGAAAGCTGATGGCAAACTTCCGAACTAATTTGAATTCCCTTGCATGACTCGAAGAGTCTCTCGGATACTAATGAATATATTCATAGCGAGAAACTAACGAAATTCCAAACTGTTTCGCAAAATCTGTCTTTTCGGACAGATCGTTCGATTCAGACCGCTTTGGTTGGAACCTTGAACTTCCCGGTTAATTATTGCTTATTTACGGCATTTTAAGCCGACTTATAAGGACATCGTATTACGAGTGATTCATGTTTCTTTAACTACTGAACTCTTACTCGACAAATAGTGTAACTTTTTTTTTTAACTAAAAAGTGACAAACCAAAGTACAAACAACAAGAACAGTATATAAATTTATCAGGATTTTTCGCTTGCTTTGCTTTGCTTGCTGGTTTTGTTGATTTACTTCAGAAAAGTAAAATAATTCTTAAAAAATTAAGTTTATTTATAGGTTCAATATGGTATTGTTATAACTAATTAATTGCAAAAAATAAAAAAGAAACAAAAATTATGAGCTCCATGCCCGGTTCCTTGCTGAGGGTACGTTTTTATCACATAATAATCACGCTTACCACTATTCGGTGCAATTTCGCGTTATTATTTTTGGTTCGTTGCATAGGTTCACTGCAATCACTGTCATTCATTAATTTTGAATCTTGCGATTTTTGCTCAGCAACTTTCAGAAGTAGGCTTTCAAATTGTTGCTGTTGATTCGTTTTTAATGAACAAGGTCGCAAAGACACTGCAGTAAATAATAACAACAACATACTAAGCAATGAGTTAGTTTTAGTTAGTATGTATTACTAGGAATATTAAGTTTAGATTTTATTTAGCCGTGGGTATTTTGTAAATTAGTCAAAAACACCGGTTAATTGGTACACTTTTGTATGGTTTATAAACTAGTTGGATGGTATACAAACCAACCAATGTTCGTAGCTCTCTTCGTAGAAATATAGTTTTCTGTCCAAATAACCTGACATTTAAAAAGTTTATAATACTGTCCAGTTGGTTTATAAGCTAGCAAAGCTAACATTTTAACCGTAATTAATTACAAAATGTCCAGGGAAGTGAAACATAACTTAAGATGATTTTTAGCAATTATAAAACTTGGAGGTTATTGAATTTAATAACAGAAGAGGTGTTAAATCATAACTTACACTTTGTGAAATTATTGTTGTTCGTACATTGGTAAAATGAATACTTTTTACATAATAATTTACTCTTTTCCGTAAGAGATCAAAACAGTCCCGCAAGATAAAACATTATAAAGTAAATAATTCATGATTAAGTTTAAAAGCGCCCTATAGGTTGTGCTGCGTTTAAATACGGAATTCGTATTTTTCGCACAAATTTTTCAACACACTATGTCCATCAGAAAATTTTAATTTGACAGGCATTAGTGTTGTGGCGATTTCACCGATGATTTTTTTTATTTCTGTGTTTAATTGGAGAGTTAACTCCGTATCGACGGTACGATTTGTGCGTCAGTGGTGCTTGCTGGGTGAGTTAGTTTGTTGTTGACTATATTCATCATCAATAAATTTGATGAAAGTTTGAATCAAATTTGAACCGATAGGTTATAAAAATATGCTGTTTATGTCTTTAGATGCCCAATATAATTTATCAGAATATTTCTTATTTTTCGCTAATTTAAACGAAAACGATTCAACTCGATAATAAGTTGTACAAGTTGTCTCCTTTTCTGAACTTTTGTGGGTTATTTGGGTTTTTATTAGAGTTAGAAGCCAATCTAGTTCTACTTATTTTAGATTTCAAGGAGTTCGTCAACGTTTTTAAAAATGAAATAATTTTTTTTTTTTAGAATTTATCAGAACGATAAATGTTTTCATTTTTATTGAAAAAATAATAGTCTATAATGAACACACCGTGAAATAGTCAGTAAAAGTCACAAATGTGTCAGTTGCAATGGTTTTTCTTTTAATATGTAAACAATAAAAAACAAGAGACCTATAGTTTTTGGTAAAGAGCTCCTGTTGTTAAAATTATAAGAAACAAAAATTATCATGGCACGTAAACAAAAGCTAAAATATTCTACAGTAAAAGCAGCAACCAACTGATCTGATTTTTGGTAAACATACTATTTTCAAAGTAAGTAAAAAACCGCTAGACATCAGTCTTGGGCACCTTTCAGGCTATTATAAAAGTGTCTGTGACATTTTTTAATGGCATAACTTTTTAGCAAATCCATTAAGTCATTAATCTTTTTCTTTGGAATTGGTATAACATCTCGATAAGCACGGTCTAGATTCACATTTCCAAAAGACGTAAAAGTCGCTCGAATATTTCTTTGCGTAATATGCTTCTGTAGTCAGTTTCACTGAAAGATGTTTTATAGAAAAATGTGTCAGAAGCATCTTTTTCTACTTTTTCTACACACACGTCATTTGAGTAACTAGTATTTAAAATAAAAAGAAAAGATCGTAACTCATTATTACTACTTTATAAGGAGTTTCCGTCTTTTTCGAGTTTTTTTTTACCAACATTACGTACTCCGCGGCTATCACAGATACACTGGGTTATGTGCCGTAAGATCGTTAAAAAACGCGGGAAATTCAATAGTGGCACTAACTACTCTTTCTAGCGGAAATGAAGCAAGATAACTAGGTGCCGGTATTT